GCAATATCATCTCCGATGTTGTTGGAACAATGCTTGAAGTCATCAGTGTGTCAGCAATAAACACACGCTTCCGCCTGCTATTATCACCGTCATCACCATAGATGTAGAATAGTAATAATAGCTGAAACCAGAAGCGTGCCAAAATCACTTGGCAACGCGGCACAGTGGTGCGTTACTAGAAAATTTTTATACAAAATATCATTTTATATTTCCAGTAACGGTATAACATAATATAATCGCGATATTTTTATACATGTTTCAAGTTATATGAAGAAATTCTATTTCACGGCTATGGAATCGTTGAAAATATTGCAAAAGTGTTTTGAATACTTTATCACAAACATAAGTATTTCAGTGGCGCAAAGCATTCAGTAAAGGTCTTGAAGTTCGAAAAGTTCTCATGAGAGTCGTCCATCCACCTCTGTTATTAACGATGACATTGAAAGAGTTAAAGAAACAGATCAACTCAACACTTTTTGGTTAATGTTTTAGGTATGAAGGGTGTCAATGCTTGACTAGTCCAAAACACCTGAGCAAAGGAGATGCTTGACAAAGTAGCTGAGAACGCTATAACAAATGTATGGCAAATTGGATTAAGCGTTGGCTTACTTGTATTGGCGCAGGAACCTGTTTCGAAGGCGATAATAAAGATTTGTATTAAAACAGGGGAAAACATATATACTTTTTGACATTTCGTCTAACTTGATTTCTTAAGAAAATACTCGAAATACTTTTCAGGGCCCTCTGAAAATAAATTTTAAACCGCCTCGCAACAACAGATATATTTTTAAGTAGTTTTTTATGTTGATTAAAAACAGATTTACCACTGCGCGGTTCTGCCTAGAAAACTGCTTAACGAAGCTCTAATAGAATTTAAAGCTTTCTTTACATACTTTTTCAGACTATATCAACCGAGCATTACGATTCTTTGAAATTAATTCCCACGACTGAACGGGTCTACGTAACCGGTACGGGCCCTAATATTATGCCGGGCAAGGACTGTTAACTTGGCAGCATTTACTTGTAGCAGAAAAGATTTCTGCCGCTACAGCAATCACAACAATATACTCTCAAATAGTCAAAGCCCGAGCTGTAAAACAAAATTTTGAATTTCAAAACCACTGTGCCAACACATACCATACTTATCACTCACCCAAGATATATTGACTTAAACATTAGGCCTCCACTACACACCACAAAAGCACTGCGAAACATATTGAATGTATGAATAGGCAAATGTATAGAAATGGACGGACAGCTGAATAAGGGCGCTTCAATGTTTGGCACTTGTGCGACCCCATGAATGCAAAATACAAATTAAAGATGATATGGCAATCAGCAATAAGCGTTTTTATTAAATTCACCAAACACCCAAAACCTTCCGGAGAACACAAACATAACATAGCAACAACACAAGTCATGCCGTATTATTTGTGTATCCGCTCATAAACACCCGCGAAATCCGTTCACCCTCCTTTGAAGCAATATAAAAGCACTTCAACTCACTTGCCTATAATCATTTACAAACAAATTTCATCACTATCACGCCAATATGTCCATTTATATTCGTATATTATTTTTTTAATATCCTCGTGCCATTGCTTTGTTCCTCGTTTAATGTGAATATTGCTGTCGCGTGGAAGCGTTTAAATCGTGCAGAAGACCGTTAATCCTTGTGTTGAAAATCGTATTGTTGGCAAATTACCATTCTCCCCGCTATCCTGCGTCTCCACATTCTACTTTATACTTCAGCGTGGAACACCCTTTGAAGATAATCACGTACATACATAGACACCCGTCGTACAATAACAAATGAAAGGGTGTCAGCTTAGCTGACTTTTGATATTGCCAAGGATATTATTTACAGCGAAACATATTAGAACAGCCAAAAATGTCAAATGATTTTTCGGAATGAACGAGCGAATGAATGAAATGAAGTGGAGCATACACTGAGAACAAAAAGAAACAAAAGCCCCAATACAAGTATATTATAAAACCAGGAATCAATTTAAAGAACTTTTCTTTTTCTGATAAACCTTTCCAAGCATAACGTTCATATGTCAGAAATAAAAATTTTGGTGGACTGGTCCTCTCAATTCTTAAGGAATATAGCATATATTACTCTGACTCTTGAAGAATCGAAAGCAACTAAAAGAAGCTTGTATTAGAAACAGTTTTTCGAGCTCGGCTCTCTTGGTAAAAAATTTACATAAGAACTCAAGTAGAGAACATACAGATACCGAATTAAAACCGCTTGCTGTTCTATCTCTCTCTTTCACTATGGCAAACTATGCGATTTACACTAGTTGTTGTTCGGTTCGCTACTCTTCAAGGTTTGTCGAATCGTGTTATACTTTTAAGTTTACCACGAAGTTTGTAACACCTAGAAAGAAATATTATTTTGTTTTTAAAGAAATCGTATCTATATAACCTCAAATTTTGCTCAGTGTAGCCAAAGCTTATACTGATGTCCGCTTCAATTGTTATGGCGATGTCTTTTACCACTTTTACTTCGATTTGGTGCGTACAAAACTTTCTCGACCCTTGATTGTTGTAAGTTGTTGTCATTATTGTTGTTGTAAGCAATTCGAGATTTGTCAATGAGCAGTGGAGAAATGAAAAATGACAATTGTAAATAGTCACGACCGAAACAATGCGCAGCGATTACCCAACACAGCTTCAGCTTTCCAAGGATCTGAAGTTTGAGCGACAGCATGACTGAGCGACAATCCACATTGTGCGAGGTCACCTCATCTTCCGCCGCATTGGCAGCCACCGAACGCTGCTCAAGGAGGGTAGTTGCCAAATATTGGCTTGCGACTACTGCTTTTGATTATGTTGATATGTGGGCTGGTCGTCTGCTGGCTCAAACAATTTCGCATGCTACGGGTCCTGCCGGGAGAAGGATGTGAAATGAATGAAATGTGAAATTAAATGATAAAAGATGCTCTAATGCGTCGACTGCACATACACACAACAACAACATGTGAAGAGCATAGCGGGCGGGTGTGAATATGTGTGCGCATGTGTGTTTGCATGACGCAGCGTGCTTAAAGGGAAGTTGCGGCGTATGCATGGACCATGCCAAAGGTCGGCAAGCACCTGTTTTATTAAAAAGCAAATAAACGTCGACGAGTGTCTGTGAAGCGGCATTGCGAGCGCACGCCAAGTAAGAGACATCGAGCTGCGCACAAGGACATCAGTCCTTCAATTGATGTTCGCCAAGGGTTTGGGCTGTCAAGTGGTGGTCGGTTGTATAGCATAATAATTGTGCATATTTGGCTTTTTAATAAAACCTAATCGTCATGGCATCGCTTCATCAACGCACAACAACCGGGTGTTTCGCGGTGGCAGTATAGCGGAGCAAGATAACTGTGAGGGGTGTGTCGGATGTGGTTTGGGTAGCCATATGTATATTTATATGTATGTATGTATGTGTACTACTCGTACTTGGGCAATGAAATTTAATTAAATTTCTAAACACTTAATATATCTGTATATGTAAGTAATTACGCATATAACTATGTGTGTATGTATGTATGCCTTTAGATTTGTAGACATGTACATCAATACACACCTGTAGTACATTTACATTTACAATTTATGGCGAAAGTGTGGCGAAAATCGTTGTTTTGACCGAACACGTGTTTTTTTTATTATTTTATTTTTTATTATATTTTTTACCTTTTTAGCATAAGATTGATAACTTTCTGTTCCTGTCTTGTTGATATTAAAAATTGTCATACAGTCTTATTAAATATTAACAACTCTTATGAAACTCAATGGAAAGAAAAAGAAATATTTAACTTCGGTTGCATCAAAGCTATAATACCCATCACAAATAATGTTCCATTCAAGAACTTAATACTGATCGTTCAGTTTGTATGAAAGCTATATGCTATATTTGTCTGATATCAATGGTTCCGACTAATGAGCAGTCCCTTGGTGAGAAAGGGTCGTGTACAAAATTTCAGATCGATATTTCAAAACTGAGAAACTAGTTCGCGTATATACAGACGGATGCTGATCATTTATATACATATATTATAAGGTCTCCGACGTTTCCTTTTGGATGTTACAAACTTCATGGCAAACTTAATATACCCTGTTTAGCGTATAATAATAATTTCTGTTTGAAATGCTTGGGGTACAAATATTTTTTAAACAATAAAATAACATTAACTTCGCCAGCGTTTCTTCAATTTCGGAGTATAAAGAGATCTTCATTTTGATTTTGATCGGTCAGTTTGTACCTCAGTTATATTATTATATAGTGGACCGATATTTATATATATATATATGGTTTATATTTGCTGTAACTCTGCAAGAAATCAAGAATATACCAAAAACTTATCAGAAGTACTTTGAGCATTGGAAGATGCGATGGCAAAAAACTATATTGAAAATAATAAATCTGAATAAATCAAAATGTTTTAAATTATCGACTTTCACGCACGTCAATACCGTAGCAAACCACGAAAACCATTCGTTATATTTACATACATATGAAGGACATATGCACAAATCTTGACTCAATACTTTCCATTTCTAATATAATATAGAAATAGCTCTCAGCTTTTTTCTCTTTCTATGTACGTCAAAGATTCTCCAATTAAATATTATATTATACCTATATACATTATTTGCTACCAATTTTCATAATACGGACTTTGTTTAGACAACTTAATTGTATAAAAAAGGTAAAGGTTAATAACCCGATTAACATTTTAACTGTAATTGTATATTTTCTGATATGGAAAGGTTTAAACTTTTTTAGTTTGATAATCCCATCATAACATTTCTTTATCTTATCAATCCAAATTTATATCAACCAATACTCTAACTTTTTATCTTTTTATTTAAAAAATAGTCATCTCGCATACCACATACATACCATATTCCGTGTATATATATTATTTGATCTATTTATATTTTATTATTCTGGATTTCAGAAAGAAAAATTACAAAATATAACCAATAAATAGTAAATAAACTTTACATAATTTTATTTTTAATTACTTTCGTACATATATAGGTAGTAATATTTAATCCAAGAACCAATCACTTTTTTTTAGAATTTTGTAACTTAAAGTTTAACAAATTAATCGAAAAAGTATTGTAAATTATATACATATTATAAAATGAAAAGTAGGCCAAATTTTAATAATAGATTATAAAATATTAATTTTTGATAAGATAAGAGATTTTTCAACATATCTTCCACAAGTATATTGTCATAATTTTCCGATATTGTCTCAAAAGCCACTCTATAAATTATCTAAGGTTCTCATAAACGGGTTGTGAAATAAATTGAACTTTGAATTCCACCTGTATATGGCAGAATAATGCAAGTCATGAAAATAACTTACGTCATGCTCAAACTGTTAATATTGTGGTACCAATAACAAGAAAAAACGTTAATTTCGACTACACCGAAGTTATAATACCATTTACGGTATAAAAGATATTTAACTTGATTTTGATCGCTCATTTTGTAATGCAGCTATATCCTTTAGTGCACCGATGTCGGCGGTTTCAGCAAATTTGTAGCAAAAAAAAAAACTGAACAAAGAGTTACTTTGAAATTTTGTGATTCCAATGGAATTACGGTTACCGAATCATTGAAAATGTTTCAGAAATGTATTGTGGAGTCTACTTTATCACGAACACAATATTTTGTATGGCACAAAACATTCAGTGAGGGTCGGGAAGTCATCGAAAACTTGTCTCATGCGAGTCGTACATCCACTTCTATTAATGACAATCACATGGTAAAAGTTAAAGAAACAGTGCTTGTAAATCATCGTGTTGGCACCAGAGATATAGCACATCTTTAACGGATCGACTCAACACATTTTAGTTAAGGGCTTGGGTATGAAGCGTATTAACACAAGACTCGGATCAGAATACCAGAATCTTTCAGTCCTGTTCAAATTTGATCAGATTGTAGACATACTTTATGGGGTCGTCGACATTTCCCTCTGTGTGACTTTATGACAACCTTAATATACCTTGTTCAGGGTTACATGTGTGTGCGTGTATGTGCATGTGATATTTGTTCACAATCCATATAAGAAAATATATGCACGGGTACTTTCGTCTTTAGTAGTTATATACTTGTACATATGTATTTAAATAAAATACTGAATATGATAACCGACGCGATAATTACTCTTGGAAAAGAGCAGAGCCGGCAAAATTTCGCATAAAGACCGTAAATATTTGACGCTAAATGCAATAGGTAAGGAAAAATATGATAAGTTTCACTTATTCACAATTTTCAGCACGCACAGAATAATCTTATCAATGTACAATACTTCACACTATCCGTGACCGCCAGTCAGCAAATACTTCATAAACGAGAAATCATTTGTATTATTCAATTAGTTGTTAGTACAACGTTGACAATCACATAACGGTTTTCGACATTTAAAATAATATAAAAACAAAAAAATGGGAAAAATAGAGTTGTACGCAATTGGTGGAAGCGCGCCGTGTCGTGCTGTTTTGCTTACACTCAAAGCGTTGAATGTGACATTCGAATATAAACTGTTGAATTTAATGACTGGTGCGAATCGAACACCGGAATATCTCGCCATTAATCCACATGGCACAGTACCAACATTAGTTGACGATGGAGAGATACTCACTGATTCCCATGCTATTACCACATATTTGGTTGACAAATACGGCACTGACAACTCACTATATCCAAAGGATCTAATCCAACGCGCCAAGGTCAATCAAGTTTTATTCTATGAAGCCACCGTCGTTTTCGATCGCACATTCCTCAGTATTAGCAACGCTGTCTTTAATAATAATAATGTGATTCCATTTGCCAAAATCGATGCCATCTATAAGGTATACGAGCGTCTGGAGGGTTTTCTGCAAGCACATACATACGTGGCTGGCGAACAGCTAACGGTTGCCGATTTTTCACTCATCGCCACAATAACCACCTTATTTACGTACGCCGAACTCGATGCGGGTAAATATCCAAAAATCGCTGAATGGGTTAGACGACTGGAGGAGCTGCCGTACTATGCCGAAGCGAACGGTGTTGGATTGAAGCAATATAATGATTTTGTAAAAACAGTTGGTTTTAAGGTTTTACGTTAATTAAAAGAAACCCTGTGATTAATAAGTGAAAAAGTGTCTTTCAATGTTATTTAAATATATGCTAGATGTGTTTTAGTATTTCACTTTGAAAATGTAACCTACAACTAAAATTGACATTTTCTTGGTTCATGAGTTATGAGTTACAAAAATATACTTATGTATGTACTTATATGAAATTTAGGATATGGTGCCCATAAAAATACCTACATATCTACACTTCTCTATGTGGAAAATTATAAATTTAATTAAATTAAATTTTTTAGTTTTGACAGCGTTCGTTCGATTTTATTGCCAAAGCAAAATACCCAGAAAGTCGACTCAACCGAAACTCGAGTACATTGAAAGAATTGGCGTTGAAACTTACACATACGCACTGTGTAACTGATAAGCCCATTACGTAAGGAAGAGAGTAGCGATTACACGTACTCAAGAATTTCGATTAGATTTGTGAAGCTCATAGAAACTTTAACTGAAATCTCTAGTAGAGCTCTTCGGTATTTAACCCGTGGCTTAACCGATTGTTGGATTGATAATTTGGAGGGTACAGATTTATTCGCTGCCCTAATCTGCTCCATGTACATACACAAGTATATATATATACATAAGCAATCCAAATTTTCAAAATTATTAAAGCTTGCATACATATGTAAAAATGTATATTTGAATATTCACAAACATTTTTTTTTACTGAATTTTACAAGAAAAACATACAAAAGTCTATTTGTCATTATGGACGTAAAAATATTGTCTTCGCGTTTAATAAAGCATTCGAATTATTATTTTTATTTTCTTGAATTCAAACAATTAAACATACTCCTCTTTCAGTTTGTTGTCTACTTTACACTTCTACATTTAGATTATTTCAAAAACATACTTGAAAAAACGAAATAAACTTTATAATAATCTTTCCATCAAAATTATGCGTCCAAAACCAAAACCAACTTATGGCCCAGCCACATACAACTTTCATCGCTATGCCTGACAATTCATACCATAAATAATTTTATAACGAAGCAAAGAAAGCAACGGTAACTCACAATGAATGCTTTGCATTCAGTGTTTCTCTTAAATAAAAACGTCGACTGTTGCTTGGCAAAGCGTAAACAGATGAGAGTTCTCCAACATTTCGCTTCGGCTTGCTGCGTTGCGCTTAGATGTGAACGTAAGCGTACACCGAAGTTTCCTGTCAAAACAAATGTCTGACGTAAAGCAAAGCAAAAATTCTATGTTAATTTGTCAATTATGACAGTGTTTATCGATAGCGACATTTATCATTTCTCGATACATATTGCACTAAAAAAATTTTGATTATCTCTATTTTAGAAATTCATTGCGGAATCAAAAATTTAAATAAATTTATTCTAAATTAACAATTAAAAAAATAATTCATGTCATGACACAAATAACTTTCCTTGCAATTAAAAAACTTTGCATTGAAATTTTTTTAACCTTTGACAACTTGCAGCCCTGGAACGAAATTTATTTTGGAACGCTTCCTTTTGCAATATATCGCTGAAATCAATTTAGTGAATATCACAGTGTTGCTTTTTTGCTGTCAATATCTTATTAAATAAACTACTTAATAATTGTCACATTAAAATAAAGTTTTGTATACAATTATTAAACAATCAAATAAAAAATTCAATAAATATAATTACAAGATACTTGCTGCATATGATCTTAAATTACTATTGTAGACTTCTGTATGCAACACAATTTATTATACTTTACATAATATTTCCACTCTTATAATTTCTACATGAAAAATTTGTTTTTAATTGTCGAAACTATAAAATATTTTTGTTTTCAAAATCTTGCAGTTAAACCGAATTATCGTTTGTTCTGTCTGTCGCTTAGTCAAATACATTTCTTGTCAAAAAATAACATTCGTTGCAACTTGTCGAATAGGAAAATAGTAGCAATTGTGCATTACCTGCAGACACTCTGGTTTACTCGTTTGTTTCGTTTGCTTCGCCATCAGGTTCGGTGACAAAAACTAATTTCTTCGTTTTTGCCTTTGCCTTGGCTAGTGAGTTTCAATTTTTGTGCATCGGTTTGCAGAAAAATAAATTTTTATAAGAAACGGTAAGTGCATTTATTTTACTTCAAATTATTTATATTTCCTGTTTACAATACTAATTCTTATTGTGAGTGGAAATTAAGTCGTTATTGCGCTTAAAACTAAATGTGAAAATAAAATCGAAGTTAGCAGACTTGTGGACATGAGTTTTTCATTCGTTTCTACGAGCATTGCATACATACTTAAATATTCTTTATATGCATATAAACTACTGTAAAACGCGATTTTAACTGAATGCAAATCGATTATTAGCAAAAATTTATACTACAGTGAATTGATCTCGTGATTTTTAAATTATGGATTTTTTATGTTAACGAATTTTATTCTTTAGTATAAAGAAAATTCGGGCTTTTGAAACAGCGCTGCCAACGTCGCTGTCGAAGTCTGTTAGCCTCGCAAAACAATGCCAATGAATCACACGAACGTCGTCGCAACCAAGATGGCGACGACGTCGATGTGTTGTTTTGTCTTGTCGCGCGCCCCGCAATATCTTCCATTTCTAGTATACATACAATAGGTAGATGCACATTTACTTACTCACGTATAACTTTTTCATCTTTTTTCCCCCATTGTAATTTATTGTGTACATGGGCCACATGCTTTTATATATCTACATAGATACATGCATATATTGCGTTTAGCTTCACTTGTCTGATTTTCCGTTTTTAATCTTTGTTACCTACCCAAGACGCATCTTGTTTGTAAGATGTATCATGATGCGACGACATTGCTTTTATCACGTACTTTACATACATATATTATATGTATGTATATATTTATTTGAAAATATTTTCCTTTAAAATACATTGAACTGTATTTCGTCGTAATTTTGCGATATTTGACCTCTCTTATACTCGATTGTTTTTACAGTCATAATTTGTTATCTGGTCGCAATTTCTTGGGTTAAGCCTCAAATCTCCGTTAATGCATGAAAAAGCTCAAACATTCCAAAATGGATACGAATGTTTTGTGGGGGAAAGCAGACGTCGGGGCAGAAAAAATGACGACAGCGTCGCAGTAAACGGCAGTGGCAACGGTAATATCGCAGCAGCAAGTGCAAAGTGAAAATTAAACGTCGCTTTGCTCAAGTGAAATGAGACGGCGACAGCACAAGTCTGAATTGAGGTCGAAATCAATTTAAAGCTCTGTAGTGACCATCAATTTGTATATGTTTGTATTATATTAAAATTGTATGTGTATGTATGTATGTACATAAATAAAATATACAACAGCGTTAGACCAGTGCTCGTTCGAACGTTACTTTACGAAAATTAATTGTAAATATGCTAATTATGCTTTGAAGAATTTACTGATAGATCCAAATTTGAGGTTACAACAATTGAATGATAGCATAAAAACACTGAAAATCACCCTCGAAACGCGCATGTACGACGTGTCTTGCATCTATCTACTTTTTTCATATATGAACCTTACCCCTTGTGGGGGTTTTTGTTCTCCTTCAGTGCTTACACACATCGTTGACGTTGAATTTCTTTGTGATGTCGATCTATGAACAAAGAAAGTTCATAACGAATAATTTACTCTGAAAAAACTTTAAAGCGACAACAAATGAGTTGAGAGCATCGGTGTCGTTATGAAATAACTTGTATTATTGTCAAATTCTTTGTGGTAACGTGCAGGGTGTAGTCTTTTCTTAAATACATATGTATCTAGTATATTCAAATCGACGTTTTATGTGGCCTTAAGATTGACATACAAATTATCTTTGTTGCGTGATGTTGCATTGTAAATTTCTGTTGGGTACAGTTCTGGAAATTGTGAGCCTTTGCTATTCCTTTAAAATTTTGATCAACAAATTTTTATTAAATTTTAGGTATACACATGAAGAAAAATTATGACCTGTTATTCTTTTTCTTCTTAGTTTTGCATATATTAGCTTTAAAAAGTCTGTGTGCACAAATTAACTCAATATCCAAACAACCAATGAGTAATCATCGAAAAAATTCCAACTTTTTTTTATCATTAGGTAAATAATTAGTCTAAAATTTTAGAAAATGTATGCATTTTTTCTAAGTAACACCTCCAGCTCAGTAATAATTATTATCTAAAGAACTTTAGTTTGTGTGGCAACACTTATTTCATGCTATTTCAAGGGACATGATTCTACAAAGAATTTACTGCTTGAATCGTCAAATTATTAAACGCAGGATGAGAGAACCTAGGTAGATGGAAAAACAATACCAACAAGCAGCAGTAGCAGCGAAATCAGCTGCTTTAGAAGCGACAGGAACTGGGAGTGTAGGTAGATAGACGAACATACCAAAGCAAACCGAGTACTTTTAAAACAGGTATAGAGATAAAGTGCAAAGTGAAATGAGTAGAATTGTGACTATGTATTGTTATTGTAGTAATTTTGTCGGACGATTCAAAAACTTGTACCACAATTTCGATGGATAACTAGTTTATTGTTGCTCTTCGTAGTGTACTGTTCATTAGCTAAGAGTTAAAATTTTAATAATTCACCATATTGTTAAAAAATATACATTGTAGAATTAACGCTTTCGGAAGTTGCTGTGCAATTAAAGAAATCGCTTGAATTTTTTCTTCCACCAGTTTCTACCTTAAATGCTCATTTGAAAAGGTTGATAAAAAAAATGTTAATACATATTTATCAGATATATTTATGTAATACACACATTTAAATATAACACCGATGCATTTAATTTGAGCACAAAATTATTAACCAATATTTTTCTTTTACTTGCAGAATAATTTCATATACAAGGCAATTGACTTTGAAGAAAACAACATAATTTTCCAAGAAAGAAAAGTTTTAAATTAAAAAACCCTTGTAAAGATATCATAATATTATAAATTGTGGAAATCGCATACCTGCGATTAAAGTAGTGAAAATTTGTAATCACTTACAACTTGTTTGCGTCTTCATTCGTTACAAATTTTACGTTATCGGCAACCGTGAGTGTGTGCGTGTGAGTTGAGTGTATCGTTTAAATCTCCAGTCACACAGTGGGTCAATCAGCCAGTGATTAGACAGTTATCAAACATAGCAGTTCATCTGAGCGAACTAAGCAAAACATATATATATATATAGAACACCAAAATATTTCCTTTTCAAAAAGTAGACGAGCTTTATTGATTTATCAACGAAGCGCGACGACATCAGACAGTTACGTCAGCAAACGTCGTGTTAGCTAGCTGTAAAGCAGAATTTAAAATTCTTTACCCACAAGTTAACGAAAAAGTTTTCATCATTCCTCATTCAACGCTTAGTGATCACTTCTTGCAGCCTTACGACGACCCAAGGCAACGTTGGGATCAAACCAGCGAACGTTATTTAGGCACAATAGCGCAGGACAGGATCGTGAAATCAAGCACCATTGAGGGAGGCAGCAGCACCGGTGACACCAGTATTGGCGGCAGCGGTTTACACCTTGCAATAACGGCTCATCAAACTGATACTGAGCGTTTTAACGACAATTCGTGTAACCGAGGAGGAGGAGGCGGCGGCGTTAGCGTCAGCTGCGGCGGCCAAACCCCGCCCACACCAACGGTCGGAAAAACACTGTTAAATACAAGTCCCAATCTTTTGCCGATTACCACTGCGTCGGATACTTTTAACAATTTGAAAAATTTAGTCAAGATTGATAAGGGTTCCAGTCCAACAAACGGTAACACCAATAGTGGTGGTAGTAGTTATCGCCCAAAAGGCAATAACGTTGGTGGTTATAAAAATAACAGTAACCTTGCCCATACAATCGGTGTTTCTCCAACATCTGCCGACGAACGTGGTCTAATTTCCGGTAACGGCAGCGGTTCATCTGGTTCGGGTATCGTTGCTGGGGGGCGTGCTGGAGCAGGAAGCTCTTCGGGATATATTAGTTCAACTTATAACAGGAATTCCGCCAAAATTCGTCAATACGATTCGGACGTAAGCCCACGACCTCGACGAACTTACCAGGGTGACTCGTCGTCGTCGCGTTACTATAACAAGAATAGTGACACTTTGGGACAGGGCCCCAAATCAGTTGGTACTAGCGGTAACGGCACTCTAAGTGGTGCTGGTATCGGACGTGCTATCATAGGTAACGAAGGTAATAGCGGACGCGGCTCATACAACGCCGACGGAAGCAATAACAGACGTTATAACAATCAATCGACAGATGGCGGCTACAATAGTGCTAATCGTAATATAAACTCAACCGGTGGCGGAGGCAACAGCTATCGCCAGCAGCAGGCCAACCGTTACGAGAACAGCAATGGGCAACAGCGGTCTTATGGCAATTCCACAAATGCCAACTACAACAGTAATTATTCAAATAAACAAGGCTATGGCTCACGTTCTGGCTACAATGATGGAAATGTAAATGCGCGATCAAATCACCGTGAAGACTACGGTAGCAACAACTATCGAGAGTACGACGACACACCACGTTCACGTTATAATACTGGAAATAACAGCAATTCTAATAGTCTTGAACGCAGCAACAACGGGCGATACAAGCCCTCTGAGCAGGGTAACGGAAACGGCCATATTCCGTCTGCCTTAAGACAAGGCGGTATTTCAATAGAGGATCGTTACGATCGTGCTTCTAGTTCGGCTGAAGTCGGTCGAGCTTATAGCAATCGCACTCCACCAATTCGTGGCGGAAATGCATCTGGCACCGGTTCAGTACCAGGTGCACAACACTCTTCAACACCAACTTCGATAAATTCAGCGTCATCGTCGTCACGTGGCATATCACCCAACTCAGCTGGCGCCACAGCCGGAGCACAGCACATTTCACCATCACCCACGCCACCACCTCCATCTGCAGGTCGCTGGGTGCCACCATCTTTGCGTCCACAACATGGACTCAGTCAGACCGAAAAGAACGATGCTGTCTTCAGAAAGGTTAGTAATATAATATTTTTATGTTTATACATTTTGGTTTATATAAATTTTATACGTTTGCATTAAGGTTCGCGGTATCCTTAATAAATTAACTCCAGAGAAATTTCAAGAACTTAGCGATGAATTGTTGAAACTCGACTTAAACTCCATTCTCATTTTAAATGGTGTGATTTTGTTGATTTTTGATAAAGCTCTAGATGAGCCGAAATATTCGTCTATGTATGCACAGTTATGCAAACGACTCTCCGAAGAAGCTCCATCTTTTGAAAAAGACCCCAACAGTTTATGTACCTTTTTACGGCTGCTCATCGCTGTTTGTCGTGACAAGTTTAATAATCGCCTCAAACGCGACAACACCGACGGTGACAACAACAATCAATTTAACAAAGTACATCGACCAGAGTCACAAGCAAATCTTGGCGAAAATGATACCGATGAAGAAGAACGCCGTCATCTGGCCAAACAGCGCATGCTGGGTAATGTTAAGTTCATTGGTGAACTGCACAAATTGGATATGTTGTCAACAAATGTCCTGCATCAGTGCATCATGGAATTGCTGGACAAGAAGAAGAAGCGTTCACCCTCACAGCAGGAAATGTGCGAGGACATGGAGTGCTTGGCACAGCTGCTCAAAACGTGCGGGAAGGTCCTGGATTCAGAACAGGGCAAAGAGCTGATGAATCAATATTTCGATACATTGGAACGCCGATCAAAATCGACTGACTATCCGCCTAGGATACGCTTCATGTTGAAGGATGTCATCGAACTGCGTGAAAACAACTGGATACCCCGTAAAGTGGCGACCACTGAGGGACCCGTGCCTATTAAGCAGATCCGCACCGACGATGATACAATTATTCGTACACCGTTCGCACAGAGGAATCGCGATATGCGCAATAATGATCGCGACGGTGATAGCTGGATGAATCGTTTCCATATAAATCTGCAACCAGGCTTTAATGATATGTTTGGTAGTTTAAGCGTAACTGGTGCTTCGCCGATTGTTTCACCGTGAGTTTTTCATATTATTGCGCGCGTTATTGCTTATTTAAATGCAATAATAAAAATGTTATTTTTTTACTTTACAGATTTGTTGGTAATAACTCCAATCGCCCCTATAATGGACGTGAGCGCAATCAAGGTGGACGCGATGGCAACAATTACAACAATCGTTACAATAAGCACAATAATCAAAATAGTGGATCCGGTGGAAATCGAGAGGACGGACGAGGTGGCCGCAATGGGCACATGGGACGAGATGGTGACTCATCTGGTCCATCACATTATGGCAACGGCGGTGCAAACTCGCTGCTTAACAGCAAAGAACTTGCACCACGCTTCAAACGAAATTTGATGTCGACCAATCAAGATCCTGTGGAAAATCTACAAATGCGACCTGCTGCCAACTCGCTTCTTTTCAAAGCTGCGTCACAAAATCATAAACTGCCAGCAATGTTGCCAATGTCGACACCGCCAACTGGTAGCACTGGCTTCGGTAATAGCAGTTCCAGTCGAGGTGGTGCTCCCAGCAAGGATCAACTGTCTAACATACAATATCCGTTACTTGGTACCCCTACTTCGCACATAATAAACCCAGCACGCCCTTCGTCGACTCCATCTGCCGAATATGATAGTGAGAAGAGTGTTCAATCCGCCAGCTTGGGTTTAACTTTGGCGAGAGGTCTAAAAGCTACTTCTTCCTCGCCAAACTTCGGTGCAGCGAACAATGCTACCGGCGAAAAAGGAAACCCTATCGACAATAATACAGATTACCCCAATATGTCGGATGCTGTTTACAAAAAACGTAGCTCCACACCGGTAGATCCACAACAGTTGGTCACTAAACAGGGTTCCGTGGAGAAGATTGCTGGCGCTGGTGCGAATAAACAGAAGAAAGATAAAGCTTTTAACAAAGAAGAAGTTTTGAAGAAAACTACCACTTATATTAAAGATATTTTCTTCTACGATTCCGATGACGATGAGGATACAACTATCACTGACTCCCCAGTTAACGACCAAGAAGGAGATCACAATGATAGCGGCGTTGCTAGCTCGAACGCCAGCGATAGCATCCATGGCAAGCAATTTACTAATCTAGTAGATGGATTTTTGGATCTCAAAGTGCCTGAGAAATGTATGAAGGATGTCTGCATCAATATCATAATGGATGTGCTGGAAAAACCCGAAGACAAGTATTTGAATCGTGTAATCATATTCTTACAAGCATTACGTAAGCAATGCAATATCAAGCCCAATATTATATTGGAAGTTTTTAAGCAAGTTATTAACAAAATGAACGAACGTGAAGCTTTAAATCCGCGCATTGCCACACATGTTGCTGGCCTGTTGAGCCGCGCCGTTGGCGATGCTGGTCTACTCAAATTGACCGATATTGCCAACTACACAGACAACGGTCAACATTATCCGCTATTTTTGCTCGTGCTGCAGCAACTGCACAAGTCCATTGGCAAAGAACCGTTGGCGGAGACATTCCGTGAAAGTAAAATCGATTTGATGAACAGTTTACCGGAAGTGGATCGCAATAAGACACGTTTAGCCGAAATATTGGACGATCGCAACTTGGCTTTCCTCTATCCGTTGCTCAAAGTGCAGGCAGAGATGTATAAGCAACTCACTAGCGATCCAAATCCCACAGCATTCTTTAAGTGGATCAAAGCCAATGTCGATTCCAAATTCTATAAAGATGTTGGTTTTATTAATGCACTCATGACAGTTATAGTGAAATATATAACACAAGTAAGTACTAAAATTTAACTGTTATTTAATGTGGAATATATTACCAACTATTATTATTTTTTTGTTTTAGGAGACAACTCTAGCAGAAGGTACAGACACTAAGAAGCATCCAGATCGTGCCACCATCGAGAAAGAGGAATCGTTGCTACTCAAATATTGTCAAATTCTGCAAACATTCCTGGGTGGCAGTAACGAGCTGCAATTGATTGCTATTTATGCACTACAAGTTTTTTGCTATAATGAAAACTTCCCCAAAGGTGCGTGCGCAAATAAAACCATTTAAATAACCAAACAGTATTTTCACACTTAGCGGTACGGTTATTTAATTTCTTTTTTGTTTTATGCTTAGGTATGCTTTGCCGCTGGTTCAAATATCTCTATGAAGCTGAAGTAATCGAAGAGGAGACATTTATTTTATGGAAGGAGGAAATTTCAGACAAATACCCTGGCAAGGGAACTGCATTATTCCAAGTTAACAATTGGCTGACTTGGTTGCAAGAGGCCGAATCTGAGGATGACGATGACTGAATTTAGCAAATCCATTAACGCAATAAATAAAAAACAAAATATATTTAAACACAAATTATTAACCTATTAAACTGATAGATAACAAACTAACAAAAATTAAAAAAAAAATTTAAAAAAAAATTAAAAAAAAAAAACTTTCGAAATGAATAATGCGTTGAATCGTTCGTTAGCACATTCTGAAAATCAACACTCCAAATTAAAATAAAAAAAGAATGCTGCATGAAGGCAAAGATAATCACATGCACGCTATTTGCAACAAAAAAAAATAATAATAATGAAAATTAGAATTATAAAATATATTAATAAAACATGAACAAATTAAGCAAGCATAAAAGCGACAAAAGATCAGACTTCAGAAACTGGGGACGAAATGAATGATAATTTTGAACATAAATTTAATACACTTATTGTACTGTACTCCAGTTCTATATTTTTTCTCTCGATACTGCAACAATTCATTGTGTGGAAGAAAACAAAAACAATTTTAGATAATTACCAATCACACTAATTTTCTTAAACTCGATCTTCAACGCTCAGTAATTTTTTAGCAAATTTATTTCAATATAATCTCTGAATACTACGACTTTATTTCTTATTTTAAAATGAATAAACAACAAAAACAAAATATTTAATAAAAACACATTTTACTTAAATAGTTTAAATTCGTTAATAACTAAAAGTTTTTGCGTAAGAAAATTGCAAAGCAGTGCAGGAAAGCATATGGCGCAAATAGGCAGACAAAACAAAAACTAGCAATAAAATGTAATAAATAAATAAAATAAATCGAAACTGCTGCCAGTACACTTCCCTTTGTAATCTATTTCTACTAAATTTGCAATGTGTCCGCATAACGGCTCGAGACATTTTTGTGAAATTTTTGCCAAATTAGTGTTAAACTTTGTGATAAATATCGCAAAAACATGGCCAGTGTAAACAAAAACATTTGCAGAAAACATGAATGTCCAACTGATACTGAAGAGAATTAATGCAAAACAAAACAATATATTATCCGAATTGAACTTTTAGAAGAAAAGTCGAAATAAAGCGAAATAACAGCTGCCGCAACGAATTTATTGTTGTTTTATTATAAACTGAACATGCTAAATTAAGTTTGTCACGAAGTACATATGTAACACCCAGAAAGAAACGTCGAAGACTATAAAATATACATAGGCACATATATATGTATGTATGTATAATTGATCATCGTGACGATTAGCCAAGTCCGTCTGTATATACACGAACTAGTCTCTCAGCTTTTGAGATATCGATCTGGAATATTGCACACGTCATTTGTCGGAACCGCCGATATCGGACCACTATAGCATATAGCTGCCATGCAAACTGAACGATCAAAATGAAGTTTTTGTATAGAAAACTTTTTTATTTGATAAGATATCTTCACGAAATTTGGCACGGATTATTTGCCTTGGGGCAGTGGTACAAGCTCCGAATAAATTGTTTACATCGAACCATTATAGCATATAGCTACCATACAACATGCATGAAGTCGTTGTATGGAAAACTTTTTTATTTGTGAAGGTATAACCGTAAGGTTTTTCTTCTCTTTAATTATGCTTTAAACTGGGTTTTTGACTGGTCGAATCATCTGAGTCGAGGGAAGTACCTGCTCAGCTGCCAATGTTCAATCTCCGAGCGCATTATTGTTAAGAATATTCATTACAGATTTCGTCCAACCAAGCGTTTTGATAGTTTCACGAAGAACTGTCTTGCGCCTCTGATAGATTTCGGTAATATGCTGGTACTAGTGCGAGGAGAAATCAAGGCACGTAGAGCGCATATTTTTTTCTAATAGAGGTTATTGTGCCACTCGCTCTTTACAGTTGTGTTTTTGACAAGAGAAAGTTTTTTATAAATATCCATCAGATGCTTGGAGCTTGGAGCTTTGTGCAAACTTTTACTCAATCTTTAGCGGAAACATACACTAACTTCACTTTTTAAATATATTTCAGTAGTGGAAAGAAGGTTGTAGGTATTAATATCAATATAACTTAAATATTTCTTATGACAAAGTGCAGAATTTATTTTTAATCAATGAGTATAAACATTGGCTTATAAATACAACTTTACATTTTGCAACAAACAATAAACAACAAATGAATGTATAATAACAAATTTGAATTGTCGACGAATCGCCAGAATTACATACAAATCCAAATGACTCGCGCACTCTCACTGCCTACTACTTTTGATTTCTTCATATGCTTTCTTCCACAGCTTTTCATACTGCTTCGGCAGTTTGCTGTGCACCAATTCCGCGTATTCCTTTAAAGCGGCGTCAGAGATTTCCGCATAGTAAGGAAGCGCCTCCAAACGCTTCAGCCACTCCGCCAACTTCGGCCACTTGTTACTATCGATAGCTACAAATGTGGCACTTAAGAGGCTCACCGTCGAAACGATGCTGAAATCGGCGATGGTCAAATTCTCACCAGCCATGTAGGTGCTTTTGGTGAGAAATGTTTCTAGCAAAGTGTAGGCATTTCTTATTTGCTCGAACTTCTCTTTTGGTATATCGATGACATTCTGATGAAAGAGTGGACCGGTGATTTGCTTAAGACAAGTGGAAAACAATGTGACTGCTTCGTAGTATAAACGATGATCCACCACGGCGCGCGCGTAAAAATCTGCTGGATAGAGTGTGTCATCCTTGCCATACTTGCGCACCAGATAACCGGCAATGGCATGAGAGTCCACCAGTATGTTTGTATCATCCTCAAGCGTGGGTACTGTATGCTGAGGATTCTTTTCTACAAATTCCGGCTGCATTTGTTCTTTGGCAAAGATGTTCACCTCACGAAATTCAAAGTCTAAATCGAGCGCTTTAAGCGTGAGCAAGACGGTTCGTGTGGGTGCACTCTTTTTGGTGCCATACAAGATCAATTTCGACGACATTGCTTCGAAACAGTTATTTTTAAAAACACTTTAAAGTCTTAACAAAGGCAAAATACCCGTAAGTCTGCTTTCTCTGCTGGCTGGCTGTTTACACCCACTGCACTAAAGCGTTATTGTGGCATTGACTGACTAAATGATCACGTACACTCATTTATATCTGTACATGCTTCCCAATAATTCTTCCAGAGCAATTGATTCTCCGTTGCGATAAAAGCTTTGGGGCATATAATGCAGATAAGATACGTTTCCCCGTGCTTAATAATGACGTCAGAAACTTGTTTTATTAGCCACACATTCAAAACTACATTGTTTGTTAATTTATTTTAAAGAGGGTAAAAAAAATAATAATAAATAAAAGACAACAGACAACAGATCCGACTACATTCAAATTATTTTATTTTTAAATTGAGGAGACAACAGTGACTACAACGACTGTTCACCTGTGTGTGCGTCACTTAATCCTTAATTAATTTTAATTAGAGAAAAGCTCTTAGTTTGACGTCATTTTGTGGACGCATTAACAGTTAACCTTTATTATTTATTTATTTGCATATAAGTATGTCCAGTTATGTGTCTTCAAAAGGTAAAAATATGCTTTGATGCACACAATTTGTTTAGTTGCATGGAAAGCACAAAACAACAATAAATGCTTTTAAAAGCTTTGCTTCGTAACGTTAGTGAGTGTATGGTTTTTCTGCTATGGAAAGTGATCGGTAATTTCACTATACCTATGCACACGGCGTGAATAAGCTTTATAAGAATCCAATATAAAGCTCACATCTAGTGTGAAATTAAAAAAATAAACGGGTTTTCATATTTCGTTCGGCTTTACCTTTAACAATAACGGTCTAAAATTTTAATTCAATATCTCAAACAGTTTTTGAGTTACAACCTTTTAAAGTAGAGCCGCTCAATTAATCAGCTCCATCAGTTTAGTTTATCTTTAACACTTTTTTTTTTGAAACTGTATTTTCGAATTTACCAATGTGAGGAGACAAATGATTCGATCACTATCAAATATTTGCACTCCTACCAGTTTTTGCTCTGATCAAAAATCAATTTTGGCAGGTTAAAATCGACCAACATTTTGGGTAAAACTTAATTTTTTTTAAACAGCACTATTTTGTCAAATTCAATTTTTTTGTTTTGATCGTGGATTATTTTACGCACAATATCTGCTAGTGAGAATTTTTTAGTTTCGTCTACGGTGAAGGCCGAAATCCCTGCAGCAGTGGAATACCTTTTTTAGTGTCGTCGAAAAATATTTGATTTTTTTTGTTTAAATTTTTTTTATTAATTTATTTAATTATTCTTAAAATATGTATAAATATTCCCTAAAATTTTAAAATAATTGTACAGTACAGTAGTTGTTTTTTGAATTCCTAAAAATCGCCTTTTTTAGGCTGTCACAAGTATGCACCTTGAAACTGCTGGGTTCTCTTTTTTCTGTAATCATTAGGCTTTCAGAGTTTTGATTCCCCTAATATTTATGAATTACATAATACTGGGGGTATAAAACTAAACAGACAATGTAACAGTAAAACCCAAAATTGCCACTATTAAGTATGTACTGGTATTCTATCTTTCCTTTACCGTAATCCAGCATCGCACGCTACAGCAAAAATTGGAAGATTTTTATGAATAGACTCCACTCCACAAGACTTCCAAATTTACTTTTTTATTTTATCGACGATTCGTCATTCCAAGTGGCTACGCAGATTCTAAGAATGTAAACTTTTTTTTCTTCAGTCGTCTCTCAACAGGCACGTAAAACTTTATTGCGAACAAAGTCGCTTAGAAGAAGATTTCTTCTTTCTGTTTAAATTTTAATACCCAAACAAATTTTAAACTTTAAACGCCCTTTTGAAACTTAACTTGTCTACTTGTATATTTATGGATAAGAAGATACTTATTCTCGATACAGCTTTTGAGGCGAGAAGCACCGAAGAAATAGAGATCAAAATTCTTCGATACAAAGTTTTTAAAATATTGCCTCAGTTTGAGACACTTCCTATAGGTCAAGAACCGTTAAAATAGAGTTTTTGCTGTCGGAAAATATCTATAGAGAGTATGTTCTATGAGCATGGGACTGAGAGAAGGGAGAAATTTCATATTCCATTTGAAGACAACGAAAACTATTGCTTGAAATGAGAGCTGTGCTTCAGAGCCGTGTAGTCGTGGTTCAAATCTATTGTACAATTCAATAGTAAGAATAGTCGGAAGAAGTAAGTAATTTTTAGTGCAATACTGTTTAAAAGACACATACTCGTATATAGACGCTATATACGTTTCCAATAAGCAAGTGAAGTTCAAAAATTTCGAAAAATAATAACTTTTTGCATTTTGCATTTTTCTTTTTGAATATATAGCAATTATTGGTACACACTGTACATTTATCATAATTCCACCACAATCAATGTGGAAATCATGTGAGTGGATGTCTCTATTTATATTTTTGTCATTCCTCTATTCTATGGTAAAAGATCCGTTAGTTAACTGACATTCAATAAAAAGAAATCAAAAACAAACGAAAATTAAATTGCTTCAATTAAGAAAACCGGTGAAAAATGTCAGGTATTATTCTATATGGCCACGACATCAGTCCACCGGTCCGCGCGTGTTTGTTAACGCTGAAAGCACTAAAACTGCAATTTGAATACAAACATGTAGATATTTTGGTGGGTGAACAATTAGCCGATGACTTCATCAAGCACAATCCACAACACACTGTGCCCACATTGCATGATAATGGCGTCTGGTTGTGGGACTCGCACGCCATCTGTGGCTATCTTGTCGACAAGTATGCTAAGGATGATTCGCTATATCCGCGAGATTTAGTCTTGCGCGCACGCGTCCATCAGCGACTCTATTTCGATGCGAGCATACTCTTCATGTCATTACGCTGTATCACTCGACCGATGTTCAAGAGCAATGTATCCATCGTACCGCGTGAAAAGACACAGGGAATCATTGAAGGTTATACTTTGCTTGAGAAGTTCCTGACAAGCGGTGCCTATTTAGTAGGCGATTGTTTGACCATAGCCGATCTTTGCTGTGTTGCCACGGCAACGTCGCTGGGAGGTGTGATCGAATTGGATGCTACAAAATATCCCAAAGTGAGCGCATGGATGGAGCGCTTGAAAAAATTGCCATACTACGAGGAAGCAAACGGTTGGGGATGCAAAAGGTATATGGACATACTTAAGACGCGTCTCACTGCCATTGTGTCCTGAATAAATATCCTTTTTATTTACTTAGATGTAATATTGAAATAAAGGGTTGTATGTTAAGCTCAATTAGTATTTTAACTAAGGTTAATTATTTTTGTGAAGGAAATATAAAAGGCTTTGTTATATTAAAATTATTGGCTCGTGGTATTTTTTATACCCTAAACAGGATATACGAAGTTTGTAACACGAAGTTTGTAACACTAAGAACGAAACGTCGGAAAACCGACGTACGAGCATAAGCTGAGTTCATAAAGCCATGTCCGTCTATCTATATGTATATACGTGAACTTGTCCCTTAGTTTTTGAAGCTGCTCATTTGTCGGAATCGCTGATATCGGATCACTATGGCTTATAGCTACCATACAAATTGGCCAATCAAAATTAATTTCTTGCATGGAAAACTTTTTTTATTTAACAAGATGTCGTCACGAATTTTTACATAGGTTATTGTTCAAGGCAATACTATATAGTATAATATACTATACATGTTGTTCAGATCAGACCGCTATAGCATATAGCTGTCATACAAACTGATCGATCAAAATCAAGATAAAGATGTTTTTATACAATCTTATGCTATAAAAAGTGCAAGTCAAATGTTTGTAAAATATGGTTGTGTGTTGGAGCTTCTCCGTATGTTAAATCGTTTGTTTTTTGTGTTATTAAATAATACATATATAATTCCACGAACTACTCGCTTTCATAACCAACTCACTTTATATAAAACTTTAAACAATTTAATAAATTGCTTTAGTTTGATTACTGAATTGTTGGCTTGCAAACTTCTTATCATTCTGAGTGTTTGTATTTAATGCACATAGATAAGACGCATATAACATATACAATAATATCAAAACTCTCATCAAATTGGCAAAAAAAAAGCGAATAATTTGCTTTCAGCAATACACACACTTTACATACATATGAATTTCTCTACAAATAGGACAAATTTATGACAAAGCTTTCAGTCGAAATTTAGCACAGGTGGTGGCCAGATGTGATTTTAGTTCAAAATTATATACATAGACATATATTTGAAATGAGTGAAAAAATCGTCCTCTACGGCTTCGAAAGGAGTCCACCGGTACGCGCCGTTTTACTGACACTGAACGCTTTGAATTTGAAATTCGAACAAATAACGGTGGATACACATAAAGGTGAACAATATTCTGAGGAGTACTTGAAAAAGAATCCAGCGCATACAATTCCATTACTTGAAATTGATGGCAAATATATATCTGATTCTCACGCCATCATTGCCTTCTTAGCTAGCAAATATGGCAAAGACGATTCGCTCTATCCAAAGGATTTATATCAACGCGCCATTGTCGATCAACGTTTGCACTATGAGACTGGTGTTGTCTTTCAAGAAGTAATGAAACAACGTTTGCGTCCATTATTTTTATGTGAACTGCCACAAGCAGCGGCTGATGAAGCAATTAAAGCCGTTTGCGATGTATATACTGTGCTGGAGACTTATCTCAACCAAAATAAATATATGGCTGCTGATCATTTAACCATAGCTGATCTCAGTCTCCTATCAACGGTTACTGTTATGGATTTAGTTGTGCCTGTGGTGGCGGAAAAGTGGCCAAAATTGTCAGCGTGGTTGGTGAAATTGAAGCAGTTGCCATATTATGAGAAAGCAAACACCAAAGGTTTGAAAGAACTGGAGGAAGCCTTTAAGCCGGCATTGGCGAAGTATAAGATATAAGATATAAGAAATAGATAATATTTACACATTGTATACTAAAATATGTACATTGTTTTAAGAAATCTTCTTTTACATCAAAAATCAAATAATTTTACCGATCTGACTTTTACTTTATATTCTTTGAGTTTTTATACCCTTAACAGACGGAAAAGTTAGAGACCCTACAAAGTGTATATAGAAATAGTAAGCGTGACGATCTCATTCGATTTAGCTATGTCCGTCTGTCTGCATATAGTTTCTCAGTTTTTGAGATATCGTTCAAGATACTGCTCATTTGTCGGAACCGTCGAAAACAAATACAAACTGTTTGATAAAAATAAAGTACTTGTATGGAACACTTTTTTATTTGACAAATTATCTTCAAGTAATTTAGCATAGATTATTCTCCAAGGCAACGTTACAATTTTCGAAAGCTTTTTTCAAATCGGAACACTATAACATGTAGCTGCCATACAAACTGATAGATCAAAATCATTGATAAAGATCATTTAATACCATTTCATGCTATTTGAAATGCGCCTGCAAGGATTATAATAGTTTTGGTGCAGCCGAAGTTAAAGTTTTTTCTTGCTTTGGTCTGAGGTAAAGTTTGATTCTTTCACTTAACACCATATAATTGCTTATATACCCACTTATTTATATATGTTAAACTATTAAATAAAGCGTACACTTTTATATTAATTTATTTATTATATATACATATGTAAATATATTTAAAAGTAAACAATTTTCAATAAATACATACATGAATACAACTTACAAACATACATAAAATTAGCATCACATAACACGGTCAGCAATGCTATAGCAGTTTTTGAAGTACAAATATAAATTTGTTTATGTTTAACAATCCAAATATAATATTTCGATAATATACTATATAGTCGTTTTCGTTTGCAAAATTCAACAACAATAAAAGTGCGGTATTACTTTTTGCTGTTCTCTTTTATTTATTGATAAACTATTTCAATATAATTAATAATTTATATTGAGCAAAGATGTACCTCGATTTTCATACGCAAGGTTATATCAATAAAAAGGCTTATTAGAGGATTCTGGGTATTAAATTGTGTATAATAAAGGTCCTAATTTACTTCAATAATACATTTGGTTTTTATTCTAATACACAACATTATAATACATCTGTGACAAATACATGTACATACATATGTGCATATGGCTTTAACTAGTACGTATGTACTCGTATATGTACAACACACACATATGTAAATACCAACATGAATATGTAAGTAAGTACGTGAACAATCTAATATGCTTTTATATACCTTTTTTATTTTACGGAAGTTTGTTGTTTTCTTGTGCGTTGCTTTTATTTTTCACTCGTCGTAATATTTTCTCTTTGCACCATACTGCAACTTCTACCCATTGCATTTTGGCTTCCGCGGGAATCGTTGACTTTTAATGAGTGAGTATGATTAGGTGAATCGGATGATCGGAATCAGGAAATGTAAACGGTATAACGGTATATATGAAATGGATGATTGCGAAAGGAACTACGCGGTCACATAATATTCACGTTGGCGTTTTTGACATTTTTCACGTGCAATATAACACAACGCAATGGTTATGAGAATTGCAATTGTTACCCCCATTCCTATGCTAACCCACATTATCTCCTCGTTGATGCCCACGTACGAACGCCCTTGAAGGAAATTCAAATTAAATGAAACTTTTAGTAAGAAAATATTTATGGAATTGACACATAATGTATATGTATGTATATAGTATATATGTATATCACTTACCGTTATAATAATGATTGGAATAGCCAGCTTTCCCGGCTACCCTGCCTGCTGGCATTTTGATGGCAATATATAAGAGCAAAACTTTTTTTTTTAAATACAATTAAATTCTATTGCTCAAAGAACTTGAGTAAACTTTTGTAAGGATTTTTTAGGTACTATAAATGCTTTTTCAATGGAAATAAGTCAGTGCAATATCAAAATGTCCAGGCATAGATTGAAGGACCACCAATTTAAAGATCATATAATGTAATTGCCATAGTGTTTGTGCTAGAACAAAAGAAAGAACTTATATAAGAATGTCTGTACACAGAATAATTGTTTATTTTTTTTTCTTAATATAACCTAATAGAATTCTGTTTAAAATTCCAGAGGTTGATTATTTGTATGTTATTTTGAACTGCCATTCATGATAATCGCCTTTGAGCTGAAATTATTTATTGTTAAATTCAATTGCGACAACTAAAACGATCACTAAATAACGATTAACGTCGATTGCAACTAAAATGACATTGATAATGCAATGTCTTACATCTCTATGCAATTAACAGCTGATTTTATTTTCCTTCCCATTGGCTTCTGCTATCACAGCGTTTGTCGTATTGCTAGTGATAAATATTAGTTTTATTTTTATTAGTTTCTTTTATTTTATATAAAAATTGCGTAAAAATTGCATTTATTTTTAGTGTATAAATGAAAGTTAGTAAATAGATTAATTCTTTAAATGCAAACCGATGAAATGAAAATGTGCGATGGATCGGAGGAATGCTGCAGTGAGTAATGCGTACGACTACGTGCTTTTGTTTGCCTGTTAATTAAAGTGTATTTGAATCTAAGTTTTAAAAATAATATTAGTGAAGTGTGAAAGTTATTGTACCACATATATACATATCTGTATATATTATTGAAATATCCATTGATTGGTTGCTGTTTAATGTTTATTAGAATTTTACTTGTTTGTGTTTTAGCGGCTTATTTGCATAAAAGCAGACATATTTGTACATAAGACCTAACTCGCGAATGATAATTGTTTCGTTCGTGAACAAGCTGGAAGTGATAAAAGATTGCGCAAACCTAAATTATATATTTTCCCGCGTATTCGTAAATATCAGTTATTTGCTAATATTTATTATATATACATTTTATTTTTGCCCACATATTATTTTTTTATTTTGAAACATAATTAACATACTAAAATTGAAAACAACTGATTTTAACTGGATAGATATACCCACTTATAATATCCAAATATTAATTTACTGTTAGGTAAAAATTACTTATTTGTTTTCGACATATTACTTCGGCGAAGTGCACATGCGATTCATTACAATATTCCAAAGTGAACTTTTTTCATATATTTACTCATTGTTAGTGATGCAAACATACTTATAATGCAATTCCTAATTTAGTGATAAGGTTGAGCTTTCTATTCGACTATGTAGCATTGTATTAACGTACTTGTATACTTTTATACGTGCATATTAATGCATAAAATCAATCAAACAATGAAATCTTAAAGTTCTAGTCGCACTTCCTAAGCAAAAAAAAAACAAAAAATGTATCCAAAGCTTCCGATAAACAATGAATATACATATATACCATATACCATAAGTTTTTGTTGTTTTGTAATATTTGCATTGCTTAGAAAGCATTGGATGTATTAAGAGGTTTATTACATGTGCGCTATAGTTTCAATATTTTCAAACCAATATGCAATATTTTACCATTGAAGACAAACTGGAAGCTGAAGCGATACACTCCAACGAACAGCTACTATCCTTCGAATTGCGAAGTAAAGACATAAAATGGGAGAGCTATGTAACACCATTGACGGCCCGCATTTCGCCAATTTATCTACAAAGACAATTCCAATTGATGAGTAATTATAGAGAACCAATTGGAAACCACAATAGGCGTGAAGTTCTAGTCTGTCACGATATGATGGGAAACTATCTGGAAGATCGGTATATATTATATATTTTGGAATATAAATATGTTTTTCTATATAGTTTCTATTCTGTAGGCATTACCACTCATCTAAAAAGTATGATGACTACCGTTTCTACCATTGGTCCGGAATCGATTACTTTTGTTACTTTAGTCATAATTATATCACAATACCGCCATGTGGTTGGTTAAATGCAGCGCACAAACATGGTGTACGAGTTTTGGGTAAGCATTAAGCTTTTCATTCAGAATATTTCTTTTAATTAAATCGACTTTTCAATTAAACAAAAAATAAATAAAATAATATTTTCTATTGCAGGCACATTTATTACTGAAAGTGGGCACTCCAAACTATTAAGTGAAGTGCTGCAGTCAAAGGATATGGTAGATAAGATTGTCGATGCTATGGTGAAACTATGCAAGCATTATTGCTTTGAAGGCTGGCTGATTAATGTCGAATGCAAAGTTAAATTAGAAGATATGGAAAACCTTTAGTAAGTAGGAAAACCAGCAGATTTCCAAGTGGATTTAAAAAACACATTCATTTCAGCTACCTCATAGAACGCTTACGCTCAACTGTGGAAAGTGAAGTGGAACACGGTGTGGTGTTCTGGTATGACAGCATCATTGATACAGGCGACCTGAGATGGCAAAATGAAATTAATGCAAAAAATGTGCGTTTTTTTCGTGCTGCTCATGGCATGCTAATCAATTATACTTGGAATGACAAAAGTCTAGAGATGACAACGGAAATTTGTGAGCGCTCACAAGCTCAATGTCAGCGTGCCTTTTTTGGCATCGATGTCTTTGGACGTGGCCAAGTTGCCAAGTTTCAGTGTAAACAAACCTTGGCACGCATTGTGAATCAACGATTTTCAACGGGTTTATTTGCACCGGCCTGGACATATGAAACACTACAAACGTTTGGGTACAATATAAAACAACCGTTGGGAGATGACAGCGTAAATGATGCTTTCTTGCGACGCAATGAAAAATTTTGGTGTTCTTTATGGGAACATTTGGCTACACATCCCTACAATATATTACCGTTTTATACCGATTTTTGTCTGGGTTCAGGAAAAAACACATATGTAAATGGACGCGCAAAGAGTAGTTTGAGCGGGAGTGGTGGGGGTGATGGCGAACAGTTTTTTAATTTATCTCGCTGTTCGCTACAGCCATCAGTCCCTCTATATCAGCTCGCTGAGCGTTACTACGCCGACGGTTTTAATGGCGGCTCGTGTCTCCGAATATTACAATATAATAATAGCTTCCGTGTGTTTGTTACCGACTTCAAACTACAAAATGGTGGACTTGTTTTTGCATACGCTTATAAGCTACAACCAAAGGATGGCGAATTCGACTGCATTTTGCGTTTTTGTACTAGAAATAATGCACGTGATTGCTATCTGTTCCTGGGTGATTATTACGATACAATGAATTTGCAAAAGGGACGCTGCTACGTTTCACCGTTAAAGCCGAAATATTATAATCTATTGAACAGCAATAAGTTAGATACACCAAAAATACCCAAAGAAATTTCGCTGCCAGAAAATATGGTAAATGGGTGGCGCGTACGTTATTATGTGGTGGCTTTTGATGGCGCCATTCAAGTGAAGGATATTGGTGTGCTGTATCGACGAAGTGAAGAAGCAACAGACACTGCCTACTTAGGTGCGGTCTATCTGAATGAGTGTGATGTGAATACGCTTGACTTCCCACAAGATAGCAATATTGCATTGATACAAATTTATGGAGAGGATTTGCTTAATTAGATTTTGAAGGTAAGGCCCAACGGCAGTCAAAAGTCAGTAAATTTTTGCTCTTTTTGGCTTTTGATTAGTATTTTTTTTCTAAATATGTATACACATTTATATGATTATGTAAACAAATTTTATACAGTTTTTTTACAATTTAACTATTAAAGCATAAATGAAAATAAAAACTTGCACTACTGTAATTTGTTTGGGATGAAAAAAAAGTTGATTGCTTGGCGCAAAATGTTGCATCGGCATTTTACACTTTAGCATTTATAGTAATTGATATTAAGGTGTGCGATTTTGGGATTATATTTCCAATATTTGATTTTTTAGTTCAAATTTAGTATTTAGAAATTGAGCAATAGAATTTTGTTGCAATTAATTTAAAATAGAAACAACATTAATCTTGGCCAAGGCTACATATGCATATGCTTCACAGGTGCATTTCTAATAGCAACAAGTAAGGAAGGACTAAGTTCGGGTATAACCGAACATTTTATACTCTGGCAACTTGCCAGGAACAAAGCCAGGGAAATTCCTTCAGGTGCATACGGTATGTTAGAACCAAAAAAATCAATATATGTAGTATATGATAGTTTGGGTAATTTGTGAACCGATTTAACATATTTTCGGCATTAAACTATAGTATATCCAATATTATTTACTTCCAGTAGATTTTGTAAGGTATCTTACTTATTTGCTGAAATATGCGACATTAAGCCAGCCAGTAGTTCGAAAATCATTCTATTAGGTATATGGGGGCTAAAGGAATTGTTGACCCGATGCAACCCATTTTTAACATACAGGCATATTATTATCCGAAAAGGATTCTCTTCGAATTTCTATAATATATCTCACAGATTGACCGATATTTTCGATAAAATGTTCGCTGTAGGAACGAGGGTCCACATATTAAATACATGGAGGGTGGAATAGTTTTCTTCCGATGTAGACAATTTTTGGTTATAAGGTCGCCCAACTCAAAGGCACTCTTCAGCAAAGCCTTATCCCGATACATTCATTGATGCTTGATTTGCATACTGGAAAGTGAAAGAATCAGATGGAATTTAAATTTGTGTTATATGGGAAGTAGACGTGGTTGTAATCCGATTTCGCCCATTTTCGCACTATATTATAGAAATATGAGAAGAATGTCACGTACCGGATTTGGTTGGAATCGGTTAAGCAGATCCCAAGATATGGGGTTTCACCTAAAAGTGGGTGGTGCCACGCCCACTGTCTAATTTTTCTGCGGCTCTTTAAAGTCATCTCATAAAATCCGGGGGTTAAAATTTAATGTCTCTGGCTTGTTTAGTGCTTGGTTTATCGCGCTTTTAGTGGTTTTTAACAGTACCATTATATGGGGAGTGGGCGGAGTTGCCACCAGATTTCACCCATTTTCACACTTTCTGTGCTAAAAGCATTTGTACTCAGTGAATTTCGTTAATATAGCTTTAGCGGTTTAGGACATATGCACATTAAACCTATTGGGGGGCGGGACCACGCCCATTAAAAAAACAAATTATACTGCAGATGCCCCTCTCTAATGTAATCCTGTGTACCAAATAAGAGTCTTGTATCTTGTATCTGTTTTGGAGCTTGGTTATGGCAATTTATTTGTATTTGATTAATGGCGTTTTTTGGGCGTGGCAGTGGTCCGATTACGCCCATCTGTAATACCACCAGTCTTACGGCACCAAGAAACATGTGTACCAAATTTCATAAAGATATCTCAATTTTTACTCAAACTACATCTTGCACAGAAAAAAGGGTATAAAAAATATTTGTCTTGATTTTGATTGATCAGTTTGTATAGCAGCTATATGCTATAGTGGTCTGATCTGAATTAGGAAATTCCGTGAAGTTAGGTATTCCGTTCTCTCGACAGTCGGGCCTAAGTAACCGGAACGGACCCATATTTTTTATCATCACTCAAAATTACTTCAGGAATGTTTTCTGCCGCTACTACAACAACAACAGCTAGGTATATGCTTTAGGTGTTCGATATGGGCGATTCGGACAAATGAGCAGCTTTTTGGTGAGAAAAGAATGTGTACGAAATTTCAGATCAATATCTCTCTCAGACAGACAGCCGAACAAACCTAAATCAACTCAGCTCGTCACGCTGATCATATATGTATTGTATATGCTTTATAGGGTCTCCGACGTTTTCTTACATACTTCGAGGCAAACTTAATATACCCTGTTCTTATAAAGAACTACCGAAATTTGTGAATGCAGTCAGTATACGAGTGTGAGCTCGTATGACTTTTTCTCATGCCACTACCCCCGGCCAAAAACTTTTCAATTTAACACTTTGTCTTCTTTCCTTTTCAATTACTCATTTGCCTATTCTTGCTTTAACGCTGCCAACGCCCGTATATAGTACTCGGTAAGAAATTGTAGAAAAGGCTTTATCGACATAGTCTCATACATAGATAAGTGGTTCGTCTGTGTGTATGTCAGCTTGCATTACCTCTACAAAACACAAGTACTTAAGTTGACTTGTTGAGAATAAGTCTTTGTTTTCCTTAATGCATAGCCACGCACACTTTTCTGATTTTATGTGACAACATGCTCTTTGGATATTAAATGGGTTTATGGGTATCTAATATATTTCTACTCAAAACATGTACATATATACAGTTTCATTATAAAGAAATCCACACTTATATAAATACAAGTATTTAAGAATGTCCCAGTAGTGTAATTCTTTGGATTTGGATTTTTCAATTTGAAATATGAAAGGATATTAATTTTTAGCAACGCATGATCACTATGTAGGAGGTAGAATTGAATAAATGCGTCCTAGTATCCCAACGAAACTTGAGTTTGATTCTAAAATGAACGTTGTGGTTAGTGTGGTGTAGTTTCTGTCCAGTAAATCGTTCTCCACTGCCCTTAAACCAACACCACCCATATTGTAGCAAGGATCGTTCATTATATAATACCACAAACAGGGTACATTAAATTTGCCACGAAGTTTGTAACACCTAGAAGGAAACGTCGGAGACCTTACAAAATATATGTGTACAAAGCAGATAAATGATCCGCGTGATGATCTGAGTTGATTTAGTCATGTTCGTCTGTCCGTCGTTACAATCTCAAAAGAAAATGTTCAGATCGGATCACTATAGCATATATGTAGCTGCTATACAAACCGACCGATCAAAACCAAGTTCTGGTGCGAAATCTCTTGTATTTGTGAGTATAGCTTTGCTGCAACTGAAATTAACGGTTTTTCTTGTTTTTGTTATTATTAATAACTTTTCTTCAGAATTGAAGCTCATTCTTCGCGGAGTCTGATCACTTTTTCAAATGCTCACTGTAGCGATATACTAAGTTAGTACTTGCGATAGCTAAGCTCCAAAGTGATATGATAGAGGAATAAAATTTGTTGATATAATTTTATGTGCAGCTCATACTATATGTACAAATGTATGTATGTATGTATGTATGTAAATATTTATATGACTTCTTAACGAACCGAATCGATAGCACGCGCATCCACGGCTCCAACAGCTCTAAGAACAGGCTACATACTTATATACAAACATATATTAACATCGGTGGATGTCAAGTATCAAACAAACACAAGAGTTTGTTGGTTAACACTAAAGTTAGGTCAAATACACTTTGCAAATTGGCGATGCAGCAAATCACTTGGCAGTGGTACTTGCACAAATGAATATGTACATACATATGTTGGTGTATGTGTATGCTAGGATTTATGAGTCTAAGTAAGTACATATATATATGTATATGTACGTGAAAATGTGTGGAAATAGGCCACCAACTTATTGTGCTCTGACACATTTTATTAGATCATGAGCATATACCCATATATAAACATACACATACACAGAGATACAAAATCGCTTAAAATAAATTCTACACATTTTTTAATTTTATGAGAAAAATTTAATCCAATAAAGTCTAAAAACAATTACCAACTTTTTTTTTTTTATAAAATATACAGTTTAATATTTCGACTGCAACCGTCTCGAAACACAAATTCGAGTTCCACCTTAAAATCTGTATGTATGTATGTGCACATGTGTGATACATGCATTTATTTATGAAATAATAAAACTATTCTAATTACACTCACTTTTTAATAAATTGCCACTGCGTTTGATACGCTTTAAAAGCGGTTTATTATATTATATTATATATGTATATTTTACCCGTAATTATATTTGCTTTTAGTAACAATTTAACATTGTATTGTATTAACAACTAAGTACGAACTATTTTATGCGCTAGCCAAGCAATGTACATAAATCATTCGCTTTATATGTACAGCATTTGAGCCGAATTTGTCCCGCTTTTAGGCAGCCAAGCCCCAAAAAGCACTGAATGCCTTGCTTCGCGTGAGAGAGTACAACGAAAGCACATTATCCACTCCCATGGAGATAATAAACTCAACTGATGCTGTATTGCGGCATGCTGGTGGCACAAACTTTTCCATACAAATTCTCTGTTGTCGTTGATGCTCCGGCACATGTTAACATTGTTGGGGTTGTTCGGCATTTCCTTTGACTAAAGCCTTAGGTTGGTTTTCGAAAGCGTTCACATGGTGTCTTAATATTTTATACTTGAAAAATAATACGCTTAGTATAAAATATTTTTGAAACATTTTCTATGGCTTGAACACACATACGATGTTTTTGGGTGGCATTTGGGTTAATTTTTTTTTAACCAATATTTAAATAAAAGCAAGAAAACACGTTAACTTTGTTTGTGCCGAAGCTATAATACCCTTCACAAATAAAAAAGTTTTCCATACAACGACTTCGATTTGATCGTTCAGTTACATGGCAGCTATGTATATGCTATAGTGGTCCGTTCTGAACATTTTGTTCGGAGATTGTGGCGTTGTTATACAAGTTGATTGTTAGACACTCTTATATTCAACTAACCTAATATCTGTAAGGAACAAGTGAAATTAAGCGATCCTTAACGGATTATAGTATGGCTCGTGGTGCCGCTGGTTTTAAACATTTAGAGAAGTCTTTAACAACCGGCGACTTCGAACTTACGTTTCATTGATTCTTTTTCATTGAAGTGTAAGCTGAAATAGAAAAGTATATGCGTGAGCGTAACATTATTCTTGTATTTTTACAGGAGTGCTAAGTTTATTGTTTTTGTTTTGACATTCACACAACCGTAATTTTATTCCATATTTCCTGCGTCAACGAGAAAATACTCGCCTAACCCATATGCTCCAGTTAAAAAGAGAGCCTTGTGCATTAAAGCTTTTTTTTCCATGGCTGCCACCGTAAGACAATTTTTACTGTAATCTAAAGTTAATTTTAATAAAAGCTTTATCGAAAAAGAACCATCTTTAACATAGATTTACTAATAAATTATTGATATTGAATACATGTTTGTTTATTGTCATATTTTCTAGAATATTTCCTATCGTACAAATATGCAGTGCCGTCACTTTTCTCGCAGGAAAAAGACTCGCGCATAACAACGCCCCCCCTGACCTAGCTTACAATATTAACTTTATGCAATAATATATGTATGTACATGCTATAAATGAGTACATTATAATATATATAAAACCAAACACTACGATACACCATGATTTGCAACTTTTATGCTTACAAACAAATATCCTTGTAGAAAAAATCTAACGAAGAAAATTCGCTGGGGAAAAAAATGTCTGAGTTGTTTCCTTATTAAATTAGTAAAAATAATTCCAAACAAGTTTTGTCAGATCTTGCGCTTTTTTGCTTATCAACAACAGTTCTGATGGAATACATTAAATAATACAGCAATTGTTTGTGAAGAATAGAAAATATTTCACTTGCTTGTCTTTATTAAAACTTAAGCATGGCGCAGATATGATTCCAACATGTTTCCCATTGAAAAATCAGTGTCAATATCGAAATAAAAATTAACATAAATACTAACTTATGACAAACCTCATTTAAAAGGGTCGAACCATAACTTTTTTACCACACTTATACCGAATAGGAAGACATCGTTGCTGTGGTTGGCTATGTGTTGAATATTTCGAAGAACATGCAAGATATCCAAGTAAAAAATAAGTAGATCTTCCTGATCATAAATGGTTGGTAAAATCGGTTAAGACTCTCGCCGCTTTCGTTGTTCTAGTTTGTACTCACTATATTAGCGGTTAATATATTTGGAAAATACGTATAAAAGTGGCAATGGAATCGAGAAGGAAGAAAGCCAAGAGTTGGGCTTCGAGAGACGGCTTTGGAACATGTATATATTTTAGATGAGTGCAAAATTCAAATACATAATGTTCTTGATATTTCTGATAGGCAAAAAACACTTAGCGTTTTGCTTTTTATCTACAATTCTTCAGTAAGATTTGATAAAGTAACTAAATACTAACTTAGAAATTCATAAGAAAAAGAAGACAATTTAAGTTATATGTATATAGAAAGAGGCATGTTAGTGAAATCAAAGAGGGAAATCAAGGGATGGATAATCATTAATTTCACAACTTTGATAATAATCAGAACAGAGTTCTTTTGATAAAATCTTACAGTCAATGAACAAATAACATCATATTAATTCATTGTGTTAAAAATATTAAATTTTGTACCGAAAAGAGATGATTTGCGAAAAGCATTAAAATAATGTGTGAAATGAAGAACGTGAAAATGATCAATTTGAACCATGCATTGATCGAAAAACGACCAGAATCGGTCAGAAGACACAACAAAGTAATTTTATTACACGACAATGCACCTATACACAAAGCAAAATCGGTTCAAGATACAATCAAAGTACTTGGTTTGGAGCTGCTACTCCACCCACCGTATTCACCAGACTTGGCTACTTCCGATTACCATTTGTTTTCATCAATGGCACACGCATTGGCTAAGCAGCACTTTGATTCCTACAAAGAAGTCGTAAATTGGGTGTCTGATTAGTTTGCTTCAAAAGACGAACATTTATATTGCCATGGTATTCACAAATTTCCAGAAAGGTGGTCAAGATTTGTAAAAAGCAATGGTCAATACGCCCGCTCATTTCATACCGGTACTAAGTAATATCTAGTATCATTTCATATATTAATTTGAAGCTCGTCAGCAGTTGTGAAATAATACATATATTACAAAGTATTTCCTACAGAGAATAACAAAATATTAATTAACGACTATCGACAAGTCTACATAATATTTATCTACATCTCTGTTAAAATTACTGAACCATGTGTTGTGGAGTACTCCGCTACCAGTCATCTGTATTGCTATAATGGACCAGCAGATCTCTTTATATGAGGCCATCACTGCACGAAATAGTGTAACAGTGTTAGAAAAATGGAATGATTTGTATTTCAGTGTAAAACATGAATATTCAGTATGAAAGTTGGATCATAATGAATACGAAAACACATTTGATAAACTTTAAGTAATTAATCAAACGAAAACAATAAGATTTTCCATTCTCGTTTGCATTACATGCATAAAATATGTCTGAATTTAGTGACATTCGTCTTTTTAATGTTTAATTTCCCAATGGTTTACGACTTTCTTAATTAGTAGCAAAAGTAAAAATAGAATAGTAAAAGATTTGAAAGTATATACGACGGTAGCTTGCCGCACGTACTTCAGGGAACACTCCGATGTCAATATGTTATAAAGAGTTAGAATATCTGGTCTTAGACTAGCTCCTCGCAATGTTGAGTGATCAACAAATTTTATATGAATATTAGTTGCTGTTAGAGTACTTTCTAGACCATATGGAGTAGATTTTTCATGCATCCATAGAATACTCGCCATTTTTGCACGTACATTTTAATATTTTGAGTGCACAAATACAACATGAAAGTGTATGTGGTCGATCTCTCTTTTTCATACAGACTAACTCCACTGTGCAAGGTATAAATAGCTAATCAGCAATAGCTTTTATAAGTCTGTTGAAACTCGTTGCCGGGTAAACGTTTCATCTGTTTATTTCATTGTTGAAAAAAAAGAATCAAAATAAAAGATATGGGCAAACTTGTGTTGTATGGTATAGAAGCCAGTCCACCAGTGCGTACTGTATTATTGACATTGAATGCATTGGATTTACCATATGAATTTGTAGCTGTAGATTTGTTTGCTCAAGGCAATAAATCGGAGGAATATCTGAAAATTAACCCAACCGGTACAGTACCGGCTTTATTGGATGACGGTCAAGCCATTTCGGATTCACACGCCATTAGCGCGTACTTGGCAAGTAAATATGGCAAAGATGATTCACTCTATCCTAAAGATTTGGTGAAACGTTCAGTTGTCGATCACCGCTTGTACTTTGACGCTGGTGTAGCCTTTGAACGTGCCCTGCGCGGAACAACAAAACCTATTCTCTTCAATAATGAAACGAATGTACCACAGCAAAAAATCAACAATATCGCCGAAGTGTATGATATAGTGAACAAATTACTACAGAATCATCCTTATGTTGCTGGCGATAATTTGACCATTGCGGATTTTTCACTAATAACATCAATCTCCTCATTGCAAGCTTATTTAGAGAGCGATGTCGCTAAGTATCCCAATTTGGTTGCATGGATTAAGCGCTTGGAGCAGTTACCTTACTATGAGAAAGCGAACGGCAATGGCGTTAAACAGTTAATCGAATTGATAAAGTCAAAGAATATAACCATCGTATCTTAAACTGTTGGTGTTTAATCGATTTCTTTTTGTAAAATTGTTTCCAATAACACAGTTATATTATTATGTAATATACCTATAATGAAAAATGCACGACTGAAAATATTATATAATATATACCTACTTGATACATGCATATGTATTGTATATTGCAAATAAATATTTAATATTACTAGGAGCCCTCCGCTGCGCTCCGGGACGCTCGCCCCCCGCGTCCGCCCCCCGCCGAGCGCGAGCTAGCTCGCTCTTATGTTAGTTGATTCTCGACAGCAACAGAAAACTTATATATAATAGAGAGATATATGACTATCAAATATAACAGCAAAGCTTCTCTAAATGACAGTGTAATTATTGGTAAGGAGACAAAAAGATCAAAAGCTGAGCTATAAATACTAAAACACTCACCATAATCACTAAATAACAGTCATTATCGTTTGTTGTGTATATCATACCGGTTTTGTGAGAGCGTGCTCTCTTCTCAACCAAAAAAGCTAATATAGATATAACATACACCGGTGGTGACATACCATAATTGGCTACACTCCTATTAATTTTTAAATGTTGGTTTATTTCATAATTAAAAAACGCCAGCTTTTTAACATAAGTTTTATATTTTTTTCACAGATTTATTGAAAATTTTAGTCACAGTTTTATTGAAAAACAAGAAAAAATGCAATGTCTTGGGCAATAATCCACGCCAAATAGCAGATATTTTGTCAAATAAAAATGTTTTTCCAAGCCAGAATTTGATTTTGATCTGTTAGTTTATCTGTCATTTAATTGTAATCTTTTCCTACAAAACTATGAGCTTTGCAGTTTAAAATAATGTTTTTTGTATAAAAATAAAATAAATTTGCCTTAAAATAGTCAAACTTCAACCGTTAATATATTTTAAACAGTTAGGTTTACGAAAAAATCGTTAGAACACATTTTGTAGAACATTAAATTTCGAGTAGTTGATAGCGAGATATAAATATTTCTATCCGATCATAAGAAAAAAATAGATAACGGTAAAGCAGAGGACCTTACAGCGAAAAAAAACACATTCGGTTTTTTGATCCACCCTAATATAGGTATACGGTGTTCTTTTAAACAAGCCATATGTCAAGAAGAAATAAAACACTATAAAATAGTGTTATGGCCAAGAATTTAGCTTTATTATAAAGATAAGATTTTGCCATTATGTTTTAAACATGATTTCGGGCAAGTGACCGCGGGCTCGAATAAATTCCAGGTGATAAGCCTAATTTTTTGCAGCAATTCGGGCCGTATGTCAGCGATAACCCGATGACTATTCTCTTCCGAACCGTCAATCGTCAATAATTCCCTCTGCCCATAGAGCACAGTAAACAGTGACTTTTTGAGGATATAACGGTGTCTCAACAATGCGTTGGAAAAACATCACTTGAAATGTGGCAATTTTGTTTATTAACTTACCCATTCAACCAAGAGTGAGCTTGATCGCTGAACAAAATTTTCTTGTGAAAACCGGGATCGGTGGCTATCTCGCTTTGGGCCCATACATCGAACGTGCGACGTTACAATGCGAAGAAAGACATCGTTGGCGGGAAATGTTAAACCGAGCTTCCTATAATAAACAAACTTAAATCGCACGATAATCAAACGGTAAATACATTCTAATAGTATATGTAAGATATTTATATACATATATCGCATAGCATTCTGTACGAGAAAATCCGATCAGTCCTAATGCAATAATCCATATACAGTTAATTAAGCTTTTAAAAGCGTCAAGTTTGTATGATTCAATTAACTGTCTTGATATTGCTAATTATATGTATAGCATACATGGTTACGAGTATAATTTTGTTATTTGAAAGTATGGAGAAAAGCGATATAAAAATATACGTGTGGCACTCGGGGACTGCCGCGGTAAAGCTATTGCATAGCATTTTTTATCAACTTATGAATTTATAATTATTTATTTATTTTTTATGCAGTATTTTTTTCTCCTTGATATTAATTCAAGTTACACTTTTTGACGTGTAACCGATACGTGGTGACCGCCAAGAAAACAAATTGTTTTCTTTTATTAAATAAATGAGTTGACAATATTGTTTAAAATGTTTTTATTATCTTACAATACATGTAGGTTATTCAGGAATTTTTATCATTGAAACAATAGGTTTATAGTAACTAAAGAAACATAAGTTTGAGATCTGATATCCTATAAATATGTGGAAAATACCGCGTCAATGGTGGTCCCATATTTTGTTGTGGATTCTTGTGGATCATTATTCATTTTCAAATTCATTTTTTCCGAAAGAAATGTGGTCAATCGCTCTGATTTTATCAGCGAAGTTGATGTTGAAATCGCCCACTAAGATAAGTGAAAATTTATTAGCATTGATAATCCGATTGAAATACATAATTTCAATTGTATTGTTCAATTCAACTGAGATACAGTTCTAAAAGGTGGGGTACCTATTTACCAAAATAATAATAATGTTACTAATATTATGTCTCCGAATGAATATTAAATAAAATATTTTTATTAATTAAATTTTTCTTATAATTCCATATTTGTATTTGCCATTAAAAAAATTGTATCTTAAATATAATTATTTTTTAATCACCCTGCTCTTCAATTGATTTGTTCCGCTTAAAATATGCGAAAATACGCCTAAAAGTATGCAAATATTTTGCGCATACTTTGTGATCGTGTTAGGTTTATTTCCGTTACGGAACTTGTTGATTCAGTCCCCGAGCTCAAAGCCCACGATAGAAGCTATGCAATAGCTTAATAACACTTTTTGCTAAAAAAATTGTAAAACTCATGAAAAGTAGTTTCATATTTAATATTATTTATAGTAGGCAAGCAATTTGTATTGCCGTTCGGACAGCCGATAGGAAAATATAGACACAGAGTTTATCACTTCTTTGAACCGTTGTTATTATAGTATACTCGATTATGAGATCAAAACGTTACTACATGGTTATACGCATTTTATATTAAATACCTACATCCGGAATGTATTATTGAAGAACCTTTAATAATTAGTAATGAATTTGACGTTTTAGTGGCACTCACAAATGTTTGCATTATCTTTATACTCCCATTTTGTATCTATTACGGCTACATACATATTTCTATACTAATATAAAATATATTTTAAATTTGTCAATATTACTTTGAAATTGGACACAGCTGTTTCAAGTTGTCGCAACAGAAGCTTCCCTGTCAAAACGGAGTCTAACTCAACTGCTCATTGTGGTCATGGCAAACCGCTCAACACTAGCTCTGTTATCGAGAAGTAGTTATTGCTAGCAAGTAGGGTGGTCATCGCATTGAGCAGTTTTAGGAATTAGTATGCTCATATGGATATAGGCTCAGCAGGCTATGAGCGTCGCTCTGATCTCACCTTGAAATGTTAGAATGCATACATTACTAGTTTTATTCAGAACTCAATTTAAAGCACATTCAACGAGAAGTTCAATCAAATATTGATTATATCTAACACTTCTCAGAATATCTCAAAGCTAAAATAAGTGCTGAAATACAAAAGTGTGAATAGAAACAAGATTACGTTTTAGAATTGGTGAAAAATTGCTTGAAAACCTAAGTTATTGTCAAAGTAAAACTATTAGGTATCAGTTCCAAACTGCGAGATGGATACTCTTATTCGTAATAACATGTCGAAGCTGAATTCGCCGACTTATTGCTGGAAGAGTGATGCGTTTCTCCATTCATTACATCTTTTACCCTGAACAGGGTAGATTAAGTTGGTAACACCTAGAACGAAACGTCGAAGACGAATATATATATCAGCGTGACTAGCTGCATCGATTTAGCAAAAAACGTCGAAAAATTTTAAATGAAAAGTCCATTTAATATAATAGCTTCGGTGCAGTCGAAGTATACGTTTTATTTTTTTTAATATTGTTGATGCACCCATTTGTTTGCAAGAGCTCGTAACCGCTATTTATAGCATATAAACTCTTTAATACAGTTGACATAACGATAAACTTAAAAAGATCCTTCAATGATTATTATGAATAGTAATAATTATAATACAAAAGTGCCTCAGATAAGATACGATTTTATGTACTTACCGGCATATTTTATTTTTTATTTACATGCGCTCATATTAATAAGGGCAAATAGTATTGAGAGTAAGCTATTTACTTAATACAGAAAAAAATAAATATTTGATTTATTTATTTCACAATTCATAGTAATAAACAAATAACTTTGCATATTAAGTATTTTTTAATTAAGAGCAAAGCGCATAAAACCGATTTCATCCGACTCAAAGATAGAGTTTTGTGTTTCAAATTAATATTTAAATAAACTTTACTTACGTGAAAATGAATTAGAGGTTCATTTGTAGAAGAAGAGAGAGATGTTTTATTAAGATAACATCATGCTTCTAATCAATGAAGCAAATGGCAAAATTGGTTGAATGACGCTTCAAATTGCTGTCACCTTAGCGGCCTTAGCGACATTTTCCTGTTCTCACTTATCAACAGAATGCTCAATGGATGGAAATTAGCGATAATAAAGAGGTATCATGGCCAATCATGGCCAATTTCGAAGCAAAAATAATAATAGAAAAGATAGGAGATTGCTATTATCGGTGTATCCTCACCGATGGGACCTAAGTATATTAAATAATAAAATCGATTTAGTGTTTTTTTAAACAATAATTTTTATGTACATATAAACAGATCTAGTCGTGCTTCACTAACTAAAAGCTTTTTTGCTGATATGGAAAGAAGCACTTTTTCCCGTTTTTTGTTGTATAAATAATTTATTTGCTTTGAACAGGGTATATTAAATTTGCCACGACGTTCCCAAAAGAAACGTCGGAGAGTCTATGGAGTATATACGTCTGTCTATCTGTATATATGCGAGCTACACCCTCAGTTTTTGAGATATCTATCTAAAATTTTGCTAAACTCCCCAAGAAGCTGCTCATTTGTCGGGAAGGTTGATATCGGATCACTATAGCATATAGCTGTTATACAAACTGATCGATCAAAACCAAGTTTTTGCATGAAAAACTTTTTTATTTGTGAAGGGAATTATAGCTTCGGTACAACCGAAGTAAAGGTTTTTTTTTTGTCTTCTTCTGATTATTATATTTCAGAAATTGCTTTGATATTTGCTGCTGATAATTTGCTCACTCATATTTAATCTTCAATTATATAGCAATATAAATATATAATTTTGTTGTCAAACTGAACTAATTACATTGCTGTGAAATAAAACGAGTAGCTGTTGATACTGCATTTTAGGCGACGAGCTCGTGATAACTAAATGTTCTTTGTAAATTTATCCGCTCACTATAAAACATATATTTATAAGCGTGTATGTCGCACATTTTTACTACCGTCTGTCTACGTATGCATTTAGTATGTACTTATGCATATATTGTAAGCTTCAAAATAAACAAAGTCCAACCGTTGAAAACAAAAGCAATCGCGCTTCCAGCGCCTCAGTTAAGCACCAGCACTCAACGCGGTCGCCAGCAGAAGCAGCCGAAACGGATGAAATCTTTCATTCTAGCACAAACATAAATCCACACGAAATATTTACGAAATCGTGTATCCAGAAAGATGGGCAAACTAGTGTTGTATGGCGTGGAACCAAGCCCACCAGTGCGCGCTGTTAAATTGACCCTGGCAGCGTTGGGTCTACAATACGAATACAAATTAGTCAAACTGCTTGAGGGTGAGCACAAAACTGCAGAATTTATGCAAAAGAATCCGCAGCATACAGTGCCAGTGCTGGAGGATGATGGTCAATATTTATGGGACTCACATGCGATTATGGCATATCTGGTACGTCGCTACGGTAAGGACGATTCACTTTATCCCAAAGATTTCATCAAGCGTGCCATTGTCGATCAGCGGCTACATTTTGAAACGGGTGTTTTGTTTCAAGGCTGCTTACGTAACATAGCTTTGCCTCTCTTCTATGGAAATGATGTTGAAGTGCCACGCGCTAAAATTGATGCTATTTACGAAGCTTACGACTTTCTGGAAGTCTTTCTAGCAGACCAACCCTACCTGTGCGGACAAACCATCACTCTAGCCGACTTTAGTAACATTTCGACCGTATCCAGTTTCGCTGACTTGGCGCCCATCGATGCGACTAAGTACCCGAAATTGAAAGCTTGGGTTGCCCGCATGAGCCAGATACCAAACTATAATCAATCGAATGGTTATGGCGCACAAATGCTGGTCGATATGTTTAAGGAGAAAATCAAAAGGATTGTATGAAGGATGTGGAGCAAAAGCTGTGGACTTACAAGTACATGAAATAATTGTTATCAATTAAGTGAAATAAAGTAAAAATACTAATAAGCGTATGAAAATTTAGAGATTTGATTTAATCTGATACTGATAATGAAGTTCGTGTACGATTATTAAGCTCCGCAATGCTTGCTCATGTATGTGTTTTATGATGGCGTGATATTTGAAAGAGCAGAAACTCCCGAAATTTTCCAACGTTTATAACTGCTTTCAGAAAGTTCTTAACTTGATGACTTTTTAGTTTGACTTATGGCATCACCACCTTTAATTTGTTCGAATCGTATTAGTACCGGTATTGTAACGGTTGAATAATCGGAAAGTTGAAAAGGATTCAAACAAGAAAAAACAGTAACTTCCATCGCTTCCGTTCCGAAGCTGCAATACTATTCACAAATACAAAATATTCCATACAAGAATTTGATTTCTATTGTTCAGTTTGTATTATAGCTATATGCTATAGTGACTCAATATTGGTGATTTTTGGGTTGAAAAGGGCGCGTGCAAAATTACAGACCGATATCTCAAAAAATTAGTGATTAGTTGGTTAAAACGAGTCAACTCGTTATGCTGTTCATTTATATACCTATATACTTAGTTTATATGCGACATTTCCTTCTGGGCGTTACAATTTTCGTAGCAAACTGATTAGACCCTGTTTGGGTGATAAATATATACAATTGAAAAATCGCATATTACTCGTTCATCAATTTCACATCTCTGACGCGTGATTTCTCAATCAAAGGTTGGAGAAAACAGACGAAACACCTGATGAAATCAATGAAGGAATCAGCTCAGCTTAGCCGCAGAAAGTTCAATTGGAGACAAGACCTTAATAAATTTTCAACTCAAGCTTTACTGTGGACTTGATCAAAATCGCTTAGGTGGTTACAAAATTTGTATGATTTATTTTAAATATGTTCTTAAAGATATTTTGTCGAGTCATCGAAAAGTTTTACTACAACTCCCTTTTTAATGGCATTACTTTCTTATCACGCCAAAACAATAAGATTTCGCATGATTACGAAAAAATAAGAGCAATTTAGGTTTCAGCGTATAAGCAAGTTAATAATAGTAGAAATGAATGCAAACTATAGCGTTATATATTCTGTAAGTATAAGTATAAGTAAGTGTAAGTATAAGAAAGCTAGTAGAGAGAGCTAGTAAAGATCAACCCGTATAGCCACTTATGACAAATGGCAGGAATTATTATTGAATAAATATATAATATTAGTACAAACTGATTTATATTGTATATACCATACATACATACCAACACACACATATATTATAATAATTGCTTATACTTATTAATACATATAGTATATGTATATTGTATAACACAGTGGATTGTCACTTCGCAAGACGATAACGTAAGCTTCTACAAAATGATTTTCAAGTGACTTTGTGTAATTGTATTTAAAAAGCTATTGTTTATATACATACATACTTGTATATATACTCGTACATTTTAATAAATCATTGCTTTTAATCCATATTTTATTTTTATACACTGAATAAGGCACATTAAGTTTGTTAAACGCAAAAGGAAATGTCAGATATTCTATAAAGTACACATATAAATTTTGAACGTGATTAGCTGAGTCCATTTAGTCATATCCATCAATCCGTCCATTTCGAAATTGCAGCTACTACACTAATTATTATTTGTATCGAAAAAGCAGAGCATAAAGTTTTGTGAGTTCAAACCAACTAAAACTTGCTCATAACTTAGTCGGCGTTCACTTTTATTTACTTATTTTTATAGCATACCTTACGCTATTCGCCGGTACCAATAACGAAAAAAGCGTATATTTTTTATTTTTAAAACAATTTTTTTATGTTTTATTGAAATAAAATATTTTTAATTATGTACATATATGTATACAAAATTCTCGAGCTATTAAATTTGTTTAAACGTTAAAGCTTTTATTGTCGTTATAAATCATATTTGTATGCACTTTTTCATTAACATCACGCATTAATCAAAATATAATTAAAAATTTACAAATGCAGTTTTACACAAACTCTTGTATATTCGATATCAAAATTTTCATAGGAATTTTATTATATGTAATTAAATTCATACTTAAATTTCAATTTTCTAAAATTTCTAAATTTTGTTAAATTTGAATATTTATACAAATTTGTTATACATGAATACAAATTGTGCTTAAAAACATATTAAAATCTAAAACCAAATTATGCATTTCTACTTATCACTATTGGAACCTCTTTACTGTGCTGTATTTGATTTGGCCCAACATCTGCAAATATACATGCATGCACAAATGCAATAACAAACTTTAAGCATAACAATCAGTACAATTTGAACAATTAAGTACATACATTTGCACATAATATATGTATATTTATGTCTGTATATAGCCATGGCGATGGATATTTTAAGATATGCTCATGGTCATAAGACTGGATTTTAAACTTCTAACTTTTGTGCCGTATTTTCAGGAATATTGTGAACCCATATAAAATATACTTATTAAATTTTACTTTATAAAAATCTTAAGTATACAGGGTTTTTACCAAGAATACAATATTGCACAGAACATAGTTTTTTGTGCTCCTCACACTGAAAGAGTAAAATAAAAATTTTGAAAATTATAATGTATATATAGATATATATACTACTTAATGAGAACCTGGGCTTCGCCCGTCAACCCTATAAGGCATTTTGTGTTATCTTAACAACATAGAAATTGTTAGCCATTATGAGGAAGGTTTTCTTCTATCCACTTCGGATTTGTAAACCAATTTCATGCGCTGCACGCAATCGCGATGGTTTAACTCCCAAAGCAGCGAAGTAATATGTCCAAGCGTTGCTACATTATCCTCAGCATCGCGAATCCATTGTAGCAGTAGCTGATAAATAACCTGAAAATTCATCATCGTTTATTGACATGCTTGAGTATAAATATTTAAATTCTCAATTTTAACTAATAACTCCGCAGACTCTTTTAAATGAGGTGCGTATTAAAAACTCTTCGCTTTTAAACTCTATATAAACACATATCACGTTATATACCTCTTTGATTCCACCATGCATTTGATGATCGATAACAGCTTGCTCGATTTGTCCTTCCGAGAGGCCCAGCTCTCGCATCACATGTTTCCAACCTTCGCCCAGGTGTGTAGATATAGTTTCCAATATACGGTGATTTGGCTCCTCACGTGACTGCATCATAGCCACAATTGAAGTAGTTTTACGTGGTAGTTGTCTTTTTATGTTGTCCACACCATTAGAGCAACTAGGAGAGTTGGGTTCGTCACTTTTACCAATTTTGCGTGTGTTGTTGGTAGCTATACCACTTATGTTGCTATTAAAATTATAGACTGAACCAAAATGCAGCTGTTTTATGTTGGAGAATTGCATTACCATTTGTTGTTGAGCATTATGTACATTCATTGTGTTCATAGTAGCTGGTGCCAGGTCACCGGGTGATGTTGGCGTCAAAGCATGGCTGTTTGACTGCAAGGCAACCACACCCGTATTGGAGTTTAATCCAGTTTCACTTTCAAATGCATTTGTATTATTTGCTTCCTCAACCGAATTGTAGTTTGGTGCTGAGAGTTCCCGAACCACTGACTCTGTTAGTTCTGTCGAAGGTGTTGGTGTGGGGTTATTGCTAGTTGGCAATTCTTCATTTTCATCAATCGGCAAGGCATCGGTTTCTAGCCTTCCTGGGACGCATTTATCTCCAAGGTTAAGGTCTTCGTTCTCACTTTTATTGGTATTTTTTTGAGAATCTTTACCATTACTGAAAATGCCAGGCAGAAATTTTTTTAGCTTTGGCATTTTTTTTATTTGCGTCTAAACCAAAAATTCAAAACAAAAATCGAAAATTTCACTTGATTAAATTCGATTTTTATCAAGATTCCGGAAATTCCAAGGCAAACAAAGAATATACAAAAAAACAAAACAATTTTCAATTTTTGTCAACATATGTCTTATGATTGTCAATAAAACGAATTTCTACGTTTGATGTCGCTGAAAACAGTATAACTCCTCGTTAAATAAAGCTGCCAACTTTTTATATATTTGAATGTACGCCAGTACATCCAAACTTTTCTAAGCATGAAAATTAATAAACTAAAATCAGAAAATATAAAATATACATATGTTGCATGTAGACAAATTAACAATTATATTGGGTACTTTTATATTTGTTCACATGCACACATAATTATATATATATATATATAAATATATACATATAGCGGTCGCAAATTTTCTTATACATATTAATATATACATATATATATATATATATTATATATGTATATATTTATATATATATATATGTATATGTTTATATGTATAAGAAAATTTGCGACCGCTTGGCCTTGTCTTATCGGGTTATGTCAAGCAAGAGGTGTACAAAATCAAACACTGAAATCTGACTGATCTTAAAATTAAATGCAAAGTCGTTTGCGAATTGTAAATATACGAGGCTGCATGTGTACATTTCTTAACATTGAAATTAGCTTACTTTTCTGAATTAACATTACTTTGCTCAATTCTGCTATTTTCCAGTTTCCTGATGTTAATTTTGACCAATTATTTTCTGTGGTGAAACACGCTCATCGTTTTCACTTCTCCTGCGAAAAGTGAAATATTTTGATAATGGCCGCACTGTGAACCTTCTCTGCTAAAATAATATCTATAAAATTACTGTTGTCTTTATATGCTGCTAAACAATTTGTAGATTTAATCATATTTAGATCCAACGAAGAATAATGAAAACAAATTTCGTTCTTGCTAAAATAATACGTAGTAAACAACAATAACTTCTGGTAAGATTATTCTGTAATAATTCAAAAGCTTTTTGGGTTAGAGAAGTTGGGACTATCCAATAAATTTTCGAATTATTATATAATATAATATTATACTCTTCATTCAGTAAAATGCTTCTACGATTATAGTTTAAAACAAAGCTTTATAACTAACTAAATATATAAGGTGGCATCATTATTCCTTTAAATTCGTTAAAATGGCAGTTAACGAAGAATTTAACGAAGCATTCTTCGGGTTTTGGCCTGGTTCGGGTAGAGTGCGGGACTTTTTAAAAGTGCGCTTCAAACAGTAATTGCAACGGTTCGTGAACATCAACATTTTCCACTATTCTAAAATATCAGAACTGTCGCAGAAAAGAATAGTTGGATTGTCATAATTGTAGTTAGAAAGGAGTTTGGCAACTTTTTTCTATCCATCAAAAAGTGCAATTGAATTAGAATAGAACATAATTAGAAAAGTCGGCAGACAAAAATTTTACCAACGAGCCTTTTACTTATATTTTTTGTCTAAGTGTTTAAAGAAGAAATTACCATTAAAATGGTTGGGGCTACAAAAATCCGTATTGATGAGGTAAGTTAACCTAACTGTAATATAATTTCATATTGTAGTTTATTCGTTAATGTATTGTATATATATATATATATATATATATATATATATGTATGTATAAACGCATTAATGCAATGTAGACACATGTCTGCCTACATGATCACAACTATTCCCAATCAAATTCATGTTCTTTGTTATTGGTTTTAAATGAATTCCAGTTTAACCGTAGTATAAAAGGGCAAGGGGAAACAAAATGCAGTATGGTACTTGGCGCTTAATTTGCACTCGTGCATACATATCTTCAAAATATATGTACCATATTTTAAGAAAATCCGGTTCTTTTTGCACATAACAAAAATTTCCAATTATTGAAATAACTCTTATAATTTTTACTGAAAATACCTATATGAATTCAATCATTATTGTGCATTGTTTTTCTCGCTGCAAATTATTCTTTGTCTACTTTAACAAAATTTTCTGCACTATACTTGTGCTTACCTTTACCATATATTTAAAGTGTGTCCTAATTTTAATAATGTAATGTAATTGTAAACTTAATTTCTTCAAAGAATGAAGCCAACAATTTTGCTAAGGTAAAGAAATTTGGTGTTGCTAATGCAACGGAAAACACAAAGCGTGCTGCCTTAGGAGACTTGCAGAATCGAGCAGTTCTAAGACTTGCAAATGCTAAAGAGGCTGCACAGAAGGAGTAAGTGCAATTTATATTAAACAAATATATATTTTGGTTACTAACGTAACGCAATTTTACTACAGTATTGATTCAAAACTGAAAAATGTAATTCAAAATACCAAACCACGTGTGGATACACACTGGAAAAAGGCGCCAGGAGCTACTGTCAAGTCAACAAGCACAGCTGATGAAAAACCGAAAAAGATTCTTACGCGGTCCAATTCTACACGTGTTGAATCTTCAGCTTTGCAGAGAAATGCTGTAACTGGCCTGAACAAACACAAGACGCTTACTACAAAAGTAGTGGAACCAAACTTACAACAGGCAAAACGTAAGTACATATAAAACTATATTTAAATATGAGTTTACTATTTGTTTTATTTGCAAACATAGTCAGTAAAGCTAAGGCTGCACTGGATGAAAAACCAAAGAAATCTGGTGAAGCACTTACATTAAGGCGTGAAGATAGCAACTTATCACTAAAATCGCTGACAAAATTAAAGGCAGCGTTGTCAAGAGAAGCGAATAAAGTTACTGCCAGAAAACTAACAGCACAGAGCATAAAACCTAAACCAGAAATTGTTACTGAGTCGTCAGATTCAGGCAGCGAAATTAACAAAAATGTTGAAACACAAATCTCAGGTGTACAAATGCACTCATCAGAAGTCGAAGAGTTCGTTGATTTTGAAGATATCGATTCTGGCGATTCGGATCAATTATTACTGGTATCGGAATACGTGAATGATATCTATAATTACCTCTTTCAATTAGAGGATGAACAGTGTATACGAGAAAACCATTTGGATGACCAAGTGGAAGTTTACCCAAAAATGCGCGCTGTACTAATTGACTGGATTAACGAGGTACACTTTCAGTTTCATCTAACTCCAGAAACATTCCAAATGACAGTTGCAATTATCGATCGCTACTTGCAAGAAGTAAAGAATACAAAACGCACGCATTTGCAATTGGTAGGTGTCACGGCTCTATTCATTGCAGCCAAGTATGAAGAGTTAGTTCCACCATCGATTGCCGATTTTGTCTATATAACCGATGACACTTATAATTCCAAACAAATCGTGCAAATGGAGTTGAAAATCATTAAAGCACTCGATTGCAACTTATCGCGCCCTTTGCCAATACACTTTTTGCGTCGCTTCTCTAAGGCGGCTAAAGTAGAAGATATACACCACGCGATGGCCAAATATTTTCTCGAATTGACATCAATCGAATACGATTTAGCAGCATACAAGCCGTCCGAGGTAATACTAGAATAAACGTTAAATTATGAATATAATATGAATTAAAATTTATAAATATATGTTTGTCAGATCGCCGCTGCATCTCTCTTCTTAGCCCTACATTTGCTTAAAGAGAACGCTAAAGCATCAGTGGGCTTCAACAACAAACACTGGTCTCCCACAATGCAATATTACTCGCGATACACGGCAAAACATTTAAGACCTATCGCCAAGAAAATTGCAGTGGTGGTGCGAAATGCGCCCACTGCCAAACTAAAGGCTGTCTACACGAAATACCAATCATCGAAATTATATAAAATTGCGATGCGTTCGGAATTATATGATAAACTAATTGAATCAATAATTAACCACACCGAATAAGAAATAGTTACGGGCAGCTATAGCGACAGGGGCTGCAATGCGCTTAATTTTTGTTTATGTCGTTTAGTTTAATTGTTTTTTTTTTTACTTTATTTTATAAACATTTCAATATTTTTATTATCAAACATTTTTAAATAATATATATATTTTTACTTTTAAGTTGTATGCTACAATTTAGATTAAAAAAATACTGTCCCGGATTGTCGGTCAAATGTCATTATAGACATAATAACTTCCATGTAATGCTTTGCATTATAGCAATGAAAGAAGTTTGTAATTATGGAATTATGTCATCGAAAGCACCAATCAAGGGCAATACTAACATCAACTCATGTTTGTACGAGTATTCGGATATTTAGTCTTAAATAAATTGCTGAATACCTGCCATATTTAATGTAATGTATGTATGCCTGTATTAGTGTTTGCTAAAATGTAACATTTCCGAAATGTGAGGAAATCACCGACTAACCAACGTATATTAGTGTCTAAATGTACTTTATATCAAATTTTTGTATCAAAACTGTTGCTGCTATGGTAGGCGCCTTCTTTTCCCAACCGATAGCAATCATTTCTTTATCAAAGGTGCTTGTTTAGGTTGTTATGAAGTCGGCATACTCATCAGCGCAGTTTTTTATTCATATTTATGTCTAAATTTGGCAAAATTAGAACTAATGTAGTTAAAAAAAAAAGAAAAGAAAACACTATTAAATTGAACAATGTTTGTAGGCTCAAACTGAATATATTATTCTGCTATAATCGTTTGTAATTTAAGGTTCACAAGCATAAGCATAGTGGGAACGCATGCAAAAGCATTGGTGTCTGCTGCTGCCTTGAGTGTTATTTCAGAAATAATTCTGGTTGCATGTGAATATAACTTTTATGTATGATTAAAACATTTTGCTCAAAAAATACCAGCTTGCGTTTAATTTGATTTGTTTAGAGTTGGACGAATGTTCCATGAACATTATTGAATATACAATATTATTAAGTAAATATTAAAAACCCTTGCCATGCTCTGTCTGCTTTATTGAAGCGATTTTATTCTTTTACTTACATGCGTTTTTTTGCGCCGGTCGACTCGCACAAAGGTCGTTCTGCCGCGCATATTTCGGTAATAGTAGTTCAGCAGCGAAGCAAAGCAACGGCGGACAAACCGAAATAAACGAAAGAAAATTTCCAAAATTTGCTATCTGTCATGTATGTATGTATGTGAATAGCAAGAGGCAGAGGGGGCAGGTATGTCAATTCCATCACGTCCGCTTATCTACCAGCGCGCACACCCAACAACAATCATCGTGTATATTTGGAAAGTTGTAGGCATTTCCCGAAACTGAGCCCCTGCCATTGCAGACGGCAATTTTTTCAGCCGCTTAGTGTAGTGCTGCAACAAATGCGCCTGCTTGAGTAGTAGTGGTGTAGGTGCTGATAAGGGGATACAAATGTTTGCTTCGCTTCGATTATCGATTCTCCTTCGCTGGAAATAAAATATTTCTGTATAAGTCTATTTGACCCCCTTCCGAATTCGAATGCTCACTCGTGCGTGTTTGTGAGTGCTCCAATGTCGTAAAAGTGTCGAAAAATAATGACGCTCATAAAACCGTCAAACTCGGATTTCGAATAGGCGTGCAGCAAACAAGAAAGTAGCGCTTTTATGTCCAAATGTAAACATTAAAAACAAACACAACACAACAGCCTCAATAACAGTTGTAATTGTGGTAAATTCTGTTAATGTACAGAGAGCTGTAATGTTTTCACTGGCAAACTGACCTTCCGCAACATTGTGTATGCAAATTGTACCTAAGCACTAAAAGGTCGATATGTCAATGTCAGAAGACATGGTGTGTATAAAGCTGAGAACGGTAAATTATGGTTTATTCGTTGAGGCAACAGCCAAAACGGCATTTGTGTAATACACAAGCATATGTAACCAGAATCTTACATGACTTTATGAAGTTTTAATGTATGTACCTGGATTCCGTCTAAGGAATACGTATGTATGTATATAAGTGTAGGATGCTAGCAAACTGGATCTGCGTGGCATCAGAAGTGTTCTAAATTACGGGGTATAGTAGAGAATGTAGTATCATCATTATCATCGATGAAGGGAATAATTTTTTAATTTTTTTAACAAACAATTATGGATACTATTTTTACACACTATAGTTGCTGCTAATCCTCGTTTCTATTCATCATATTTCATATTGTATTACTTCGCCCCATGAAATAGTGAGAAAAGGAGTTAGATCCCCACCCTCAACTATAAGAAAAATTGCAAAAACCTTTTAATTAAATAAATATTTTATATTTTTTCTAACCTCACTTTATTACTTTTTCGCATGACAATAACTGTTATTTGACTGTATCACCTAAGAATAATTTTAGTTTAATGCACTGTAATTTACTGTTATAAATACTTCAATATTTTCGAAAAATTTGCCTTTAAGTCAAGTACAGAATTTGTGCAACACATAAAACACAAACTAATTTTTAAGCGCTCTCGTTAAATGCACTATATGCGCACATATTCAGCATATGACCTCATCGAAGTTGGCATCTACGTCTTAGAGCGAACAATGCAGACATTCGGCAAGCGCATAGAATTTATTCGAATTGAGTCCCTTGGTTATGTTAATCTTACGATGCATATTCATAGATATTTAAGTAATAAAAAGGAAACATGAATGGAGTTTTTCTATTTTTTATCATTATTTAATTTCGTTTTTTTCTTCGCTTTATCTGGTTCTTTATCTTTACGTTTATAGTGTATAATTTTATTATATGTAGACGCGACCTGCATTGGTTGTTGGTATTTTTCGCGCTGCTATTTATGAAATAGTGTAACTTGTTATTGTTGCTACTGTACTAATTCAGTTTGGCTTTGCACAGCAAATCTTTACTTAACCCTGGAAAGTCGACAAGAATTTTGAGACAATATCCTTCAGCTTGGCATCGGAGCCCTCAGAGATTTGACCATCCTTCGCAATTTGATCGAGCAGACCTTGTTCGTTGGTCTTAATGTGTTGCAAGAATTCCTTTTCGAACTTGGTAATCTTGGCGGGATCCATCTTGTCCAAGTGACCGCGCACACCGCAGTAGATGACAGCAACCTAAGAGTGTGAAGGAATAACCATCAAATATTGTTCAGTAAAACCTCAAATTGAAAGTTTAAATGAAATTTCAATTTTTTGTTCACTCACCTGATCTTCAATGGACATTGGCACGTATTGACCTTGTTTCAACAATTCAGTCAAACGCACACCACGGTTCAACAGTTGTTGGGTAGCAGCATCCAAATCAGAGCCGAATTGAGCGAAAGCAGCGACTTCACGGTATTGAGCCAATTCTAATTTCATGGAACCAGCGACCTGCTTCATAGCCTTGGTTTGGGCAGCTGAACCGACACGGGATACAGACAGACCGACGTTAATGGCTGGACGGATACCCTTGTAGAACAACTCAGTTTCCAAGAAGATTTGACCGTCAGTGATGGAGATGACATTGGTTGGAATGTAGGCGGACACATCACCAGCCTGTGTCTCAATGACGGGCAAGGCTGTCAAAGAGCCACCACCCATAGCGGGCGACATTTTGGCGGCACGCTCCAACAAACGGGAGTGCAAGTAGAATACATCACCGGGATAGGCCTCACGACCTGGTGGACGACGCAATAACAGAGACATTTGACGGTATGCAACAGCTTGTTTCGACAAATCGTCATAGATGATCAAAGCGTGCTTTCCCTTGTCACGGAAGTATTCACCCATGGCGCAGCCAGAGTAGGGAGCCAAGTACTGCAGAGGAGCAGCATCAGAGGCGGTAGCCGACACAATGATGGAGTAGTTCATGGCACCAGAATCGGTCAAACGCTTCACAATCTGGGCGACAGTCGAACGTTTCTGACCAATGGCAACGTAGATGCAGTACAATTTCTTGCTTTCATCTTGTCCATCGTTGAAACGTTTCTGGTTGATGATGGTATCAATAGCCAAAGCGGTTTTTCTATAGTAATTACATACATATATAGATTTTAGTTTGAAGAATTAGGTGACAACAAATTTTTCTTTATCTTCACACTTTTGTGGATAAATGTAGATGATTTCGACATGTTTGCTTACCCAGTTTGTCTGTCACCAATGATCAACTCACGTTGACCACGACCAATTGGCACCAACGAATCGACAGCTTTGATGCCAGTCTGCATAGGTTCGCGCACAGACACACGGGGAATGATACCGGGAGCTTTGATACCGACACGGAAACGATCCTTGGTGTTGATAGCTCCCTTACCGTCAATGGCGTTACCCAAAGCATCGACGACGCGTCCCAACAATTGATCACCGACTGGTACGTCGACAATAGCACCGGTACGCTTGACAATATCACCCTGCTTGATCAGTTTGTCATTACCGAAAACGACAACACCGACGTTGTCAGGTTCCAAATTCAAAGCCATACCTTTCAGACCGGAGGAGAATTCCACCATCTCATCGGCTTGGATGTTATTCAAACCATAGACGCGAGCAATACCATCACCAATGCTCAACACACGACCGGTCTCTTCCAAATCGGCCTTGGGGGCAACACCTAAGATGCGCTCCTCCAGAATGGAAGAAATTTCAGCGCTACGTTGAGTGGCCGAGACATGAAGTTTACGTGCAGCCAAAGAAACAGCAGGGTAAGCAGCCTTGCAGGCGACCTAATAAAATGAAATGTATTAATGAACAAAACGCTTAATAAATATATGAAATTTTATGTTATATTTTTACTGTAACAATTCCTGACAACAGATGTTGTCATAGAACTGGCACATCAGTGGATATAAAACTGCCTCATTGGGTGAATTTCCTGGCAAGAACTATAGAATTGTTTCAAAACAACTTTAAAAACGTCTGGCCCAGAGTGCACTTGCCTTAATTTGGATATTCAATTAATTTACAAAAGTTCTAATTTTTTGTAGTTTCTTATGTAAGCAATAGTGTGACGGTTTAGTCTAAAGCCATGCATGCTAACTGACCGGTTATAGCTGTAACCAATTTTTGGAGGACATTCGAGAAAAGCAATAAACTTCAAATGCTTTAATACACTCAATTAATTTATAGTTTATTTGGACTTTTTATTATTAAATTTTCACCATCATTTTATTATGTTAACATAACCTAAAAATCGATATCACTCGTACAATGGTTGTCTCGTTCAGTGGTCACACGAGTGCTACTCGGTGATTTGGGGTGGCTGCTGGACTATGCATTATGTAATTGAAAAAAATTCAATGTATTATAAGGTTTTGTTTAAATATATTTGGATATCACACCTCTATTAGTTAGATTTTTTTACACCCAAAACAAAACACTATTATGTAACATTATGTTCCAACCTGCACACTTCATAAAATACGCGTGAATGATTGTACCACACGTTGCGTAACTTTCTTCATCGATCTCTATCAAAATTCTTTTTGTAACGATTTAGTTAATTTGCACAACATAACTAACAATAATTATTTGGAAAACTTGTTGAGTTATTCCAATAAGTACAAGCTTTCAATTTTAATATTATAAATACAAATTTTTCAAGCGTTTATCTTTTCTAAATTTTCAATTTAATATAACCGGTGCATACCTGTGTAGCAGCCTTTGGCAATGTGCGGGCCACAGACGAGGCCAAACGTGCAGAAATCATGGACATCTTAATTTAATTCTTCTGTAATTTCTTCACCGGAATAAGAAAACCTTTTGCACCCAACTACAATTCTCCCGACTTATTTTACAAAAGATGGTTGGTTGATGGCTGCCGAGTTCACGTTCACTCTATTCGCAAAGTGTTACGAATTGCCGACGTTCGACGTTTAGAAGTTTCGTTAAATTGCGCGATGAACTTTTGCTGAATGCGAATGAATATTGGATAAACTGGACGATTATTCGTTGACAAATTTAAAGTGAGATTGCCATAAATGCTTATGTCACGGCTTTTTTTTCACTTGGGCCATAGGTCCATCACTTTTTGAAATGGACCAAATTTGGTCCATTGTTTTTCTCTTGAGCCATTGGTCCATCACTTTGTGAAATGGTTCATTTTGAATGCTTTAGAAAATTTTCTTTGTCCTATAAACATTGTATAAATCTACATATTTTATCCAATGCAATAAATGAACAGGGTTTTTTCAGTACCGCCACAATCATATTCAGTGGCAGCGCTGCTAACATTGTGTAATCAAACAATGGTTGCTAAATAGTTTCACAACTGATCTCCAAGTTATCGAATCTAGTAACACTAGACAGCTGTAAAATTTGGGACAGATTCAGTGTTGCCAACAGTGAAGGTCTTCAAATTAAAGATATTTTAAATGCTCTTAAAATCTCTTAATTAAAAATACTTGATCCTATTTTTGTTTTACTATGGACGTTTACATTGTATTGATACTATGTTCTACTTTTAATATGTTAAGTGATAATATATTTATATTACATGTACTGAAGAATATCTAATATTTGTTTTGTTATATACATATGTGTATAAAGTTATATGTAATGTAATATGTATATCATGTTCCTATACTCGTGCGCCTGAAAGATGTAGTAAATTAAAAATGTGAATGATCTCAAGTGAATAAAAATAAAAATATATAACATAAAAGAATTAAACTTGAATAAATAAAGTGAACGTATATTTCTTTTGTTTGTGGGAAAATATATTTTATTTTTTCTCACACTACACACCGAACAACATGCAAACTTTAGAGCTGGCAATACTAATTTTGCGGACATTGCCAGTAGTTACTGTAGCGCGTCATATAAATATACAACAAATAAATATGTTATTTAGTTCAACACTTGCTATTGGCGTTTTTGTTAAATGAGTTTAAAAGTTAAGTTGGAGAGTTTCTCTTTGCCTGATATAATATTTAAAATTGTGAAAACATCGCAGATTGAAAGCAATGCTGATTCATAAACGTTTCAATAGAACATGGATTTCAGTTTCAATGTGTGACATTTCCGTTCCTTTCCCACTATGAACGCAGTTGGAGAAAAGCAGTTCCGTTTCCTGGACGATTTGTATTCCAATCAAAAAACGCCTTTGAAATATTTTTTATAAAATTATTACTAAAAATAATGTCTGGGTTATCTTTTAGCAGCTGTATACAATATTTAATTTGAATAAAAGTCAGCTTTAAGCTTTGGCAGCAAAGAAATGCTTTTTCATATTGCTTGTCACACAGCCTCCTATTACCGATTGGACCACATAAATTTCACCGCAACGAAGTGTCATCACATAATATCTCATTTCACTGCTTTATCCTACATTTGCTTGCATGTGCGCAAGGATAAAATGTAAAAGTGCTTGGAAGTCATATTGGAAATAAATTCTCCGCGCATATTACGCTCTGCCTCTCCTCAAATCACAAACACATTTGGAGATGCTGAGCTATGCGAAGAACATGTGTCACAGTCTCAGTTGTGGCAAGCACGAACGTATTGTGCGTGCGGACACAGATGATTTCGCGTTGTGCTTCGCTTTGCGCCGGATGTGTTGTGCGGAATGTGAGTTGCTTGCGTCAAGTGCATATGCATATGTGTGTGTGCGTGTGCTGCTGATAGCGTTGGCTATGTTGTTTGAATGTCTTTAGGCTCGTAGCAAGCAAATTTCTGTCAGCCATCACTTGGATGAATGGACAAATAGCGCTGGATTGATGATTGGACGACATTTTATATGGTGGAAACTGCTGTAGACACATATATGAGCATACATTCCTTCGTTTATTTCCGAAATTCTTGTCTGATTTAGAGTCTCCAAGCAGCCAAGTAAAAGAGAACAGCGCGATGACGACGACAATTTGCTGGCTAAGAAATGTGGATATGCAGTAGTCAGTGTTTGTGTGGTCTAGCGAACGCAACTAAAAAACGTGAAATTATCGAGTGAAGTGCTGTTTCCATCTTTTATCACTTATAATCTATAAAACAAGAATTAATAATACTAACCGAAAAGAAATTACTTAAAATAATGTGCTATGTGGATGAGTGTAAAATTGCAGTTTAACAAGTGCGATAAATAATTTTATATTCAGCTGGGTAAGCGCTGTCATGTGTTTGCATTGGCCAATAGTGTGAAAAAAATGAAGCTGTGCAAAAGTGGTAATTAATAGAAAAAGTACAAGCTTATGCTTGAGTACTGTCTATCTATGTATGTATAAGAGTGGTGTAAATAAAAAATTACCAATTAAACAAATACCTTACATACATCTACACAAACATATACATGTATGTAGCATACTTTTAGCTGCTTTGCGGCGCAGACGGCCTTTGTACGCTCATATGTATGTCGCACGAAAAGGCGTAAAGTCATAATGTCAGTGGAAAAAAATTACAATTAAATCCATTTATATACGAATGTGGCTATAAAAGCGTGTGGTGAAGAGTGTGTACATGAAAATCGCAAGAAATTACCACACCAATATGCGCGGTTTGAGTGATTTAAATGAAGGAATAAGAAACAAATGAAAGTTAAGATAAATAAAATCAAATAAGTGGCAAATGAAAACACAATCTAATTAGCAGCAGATGCTGCACTAAGTTGCTTTTACCGCAGGCGTATGAAAAGACTGCTCAGAGTATTAAATAATCAATTTTTATACTTTAAAATGTGAGGGATTTTAAATTCGCTTAAAATATATCAGATTATTGGTTAAACTAAATCTCGATTAACGGTTGTACATTATTCTAAAAAATTTCAATAATAAAGCTTGTGAAATATGTGGTCAAATAACCTTACTAACTGGAAAACGGTTGAAAGCGTTGCGCGTGTATTGACATAAGAGTTTTGCATACCGGAAAACCAGAGCTCGTACAAATTGTTCGCCTATAATGAAAACGAAAGTAAAACAGTAAAACCATTAGTTTAAGTATGAAAACTTGTAGCACAAACTGATTTGCAACCATAAATGTGCTTAAAACTTTGTACATATAGGCTAAATAAGCATCGGTAAGAACCGAAGCGTTAAGCGTAAACTTGCGGTGCCGTGAAAATATTGGGAAAGTACTGATAGACAACCAAAAAAAAAAAAACTTTTTAAAATATGCAAACTGAAATAGATAGTTTTAATTGGCAAATTTGAAGACACTAGATAGCAAAAACTTTTACACAGCGTGCAACAAGAAGATAATTCTAGCGAGCAAAAAAAAAACACAAATAATAATAAAAACAATAAAAAAATTAAGTACGAGAAGCTTAAGCGAAAAGAACGAACACAAAGAGAGAATCGAAAGCATTACGGGGAAAGTTCAAATCAAAACACCAACCGACCGACGGAGCAACCATTAGCTATCAGCAGCAGCGCAAGAGAAGTAGCAGGAAAAGCAGCAGCATAACATCCAATCTCCAAAATTTCAAATATAAAGAAGAGAAAAAGCACAGAAAACAAGAAAAAGAAGAAATGAACACAAAGTGGAAAGCAATGAAATGTAAATCTAGAAGAACAAGTGGATGAAATTAAAAAGTAAAACAAAAAGCTGAAAGCAGCAGCAACAGCATTTGCAGCGGCCAGTCGCCGCCGAGCGCTCTATGTGAATTTTCAGGCACGCAAGGGAAGTGACAGAACGTGCAGATTATTCGCTGAAGCGGCGAACGATGGGAATAAATCGACACGAGCAGCGCACGCGAGTCTTTGGTGATGTGGTGGTGGTGGTGTTAAGTGAATGAGGGTGGTGTTGGCATTAGGTGGCATCGATACGATTGACACGAGACAGTGCAGACGTTGTTTGTGTGCCACGCTCGTATTTTCTAATACAACTGCATACATATATATGTACATAAATATATAACTGTACTTATACATCTTAACACAACTAGCTAAGTGGAAGCATGGTACGCTTTCGCATTCAAAACGCAAATCAACCGAAGTGACGATTAGATGCGTGCACAGCAGCCGGTCACACGAATTACACTAACGCAATTCCGAAACTACCCACAAGTGCTGCAAATATACATACATATACAACGCAGGAGCATTTTTATGTATTTGGTGTGTCAGTGAAAGCGCGCATACATACATACATAAACATACCAATGCATAAGCACAGTAACAGCAACAGCATGTTTCAAGTGACAGTTTATTGCTTTTCATATAGGAACAGTGTGCCTAGAAGTCATCCAACAGCCACGGTGTGCGCCTGAAAATGGACTAAGAGTATTTTTAAACATACATATGTATATGTACCCGTTGTACTGGTGTGTGTATGAGAATTCACTGCAAAAGAGCGTATGACGCTGGTAATATTTGCCGCCAACTGCGCCGCACACACACACACACACACATTTACCATTAAACGCACAGTTGCATTGAAAAGGCCTTACTGTTTGCTGTTATTGTATTTGTGAATTCAATGTCAAGGAAAATGTGAAACAAAATTGTGTGAACTAAAAAATACTATGCAATATATAGCACGAAAATACTTTGGCATGTTTGAAAAGAATGAAAAAAAGACAATAGCTGACGGGTGGAAATTGAAAACGCAGAATACAAATCGAAACAACTCAAGGTCAACGAAAATCGAAATTCACACCAACTCAAGTCAGGCAAAGTGAAAGCGAAAAATTAAGGCAAAGCGCTTGCTTTATGCATACACTTGTGTGTTTAATTGCACATATACTCACATACATACTACAAATACATACAAAGTCATACTTATTGTTTGTTGCATGCTTAATGCAACAGCGCTAGTTTTAACAAAAAAATTTAGCATACAAATAGGCGCAATTATCTTTAAAAACGCCGCTACGTGGTTATTACCGTTAGTGAAATACAAAAAAGAGTAAAATTAACAAAAAAAAAATATATATATATACGAAAGCAAACAAAATCTAAAATAAATTTGGTAGAATTTGGAAATCGCGAAAACCCAAAAAAGTGTTTGTTAAAAATATTTAAAGTGTGTCTAATCGCGTGTTTATTGTGCATGTGTTGTAAATAATATGTTGTAAAAAATATGTAAGTACATTTATGGTAATTGCTTATTTATAAATACACATAAAAATTACAAAAAAAAAATCGCATGTAAGTTACATATATTTGAAGTGTAAAACGAGCAAACAACTAATAGGCAAACGGCCGTGCCATAATGCAGTTTTAAGCAAATTGTGGATGCTAAATTGAGGTAAGTGTCCACACAAATGAATTTAACAAATATTTTGCCACAAACAAATGGTTATAGTTAATGGCTGTACCATACGAGGTATAACATGCCACTACGTACATATCCAAACACATATATACACGCACACAAACATTGTTGTGCGGAATTTGTGGTACTAATTCGTTGTTAATTGCTTAATTGCCTAATTATGTGCTATTAAATTCTGTTGGACATTTAAACGCATTTTGATGCGTTGAATATCTAATTCCCGTTATTTTTTGCAACGGCATTCAAACTTTCAGTTCGGCCAACTAGATGCATATATATGTACATGTTCTATGGCATGACAACAATTATGGGCAACTATTTAATACTCGAAGTAAAGAACAAAAACAAAAACAACAAAAAAATACATACAAAAATACATATATAACAATATAATATATAACACTTGGTG